ATTAACTTTGCAATTGACTGGCAGGGTGTGCCTAGTGTCCTGTCGTCCTGTCACACCCCGCGTATTACCCGAAGCCCCCTCCCCCACGCCCCATTCTGGAGCATAAAATTTATCCCCAATTTGCGTGCAGCGACGCTACATTTTATGTCTATGTGTGTGTGTGTGTTTGTGTGTGTATGCGTGTGTGTTGGGGGACGCTCTACTTTGGCTTATCAAATTTTATTAGCAGGCCAGCAAATTGTGCAACAACAACAGTAACAACAGCAGCAGCGTCGACGACGACGACGACAAATCGTTAAGTTTTGGGGTCTGCTTTGAGAATTATGAGCCACCCCCAAAAACTGCAGCTGGGCGCCAGCAGTCCAAGCAAGGTATGATTTGTTGTTGCTATCAATTTCTAAACATTTTCAGGCCGAATCCACCCCCTTGAGTTGCCGGCGTAAGTCTCCACAAAGCTAGAAAAACGACCGGAAAAGTGCAAACACACGCGAAACTGTCGTCCTGTGCCTCTGGGGGGCTTGGCTGTTCCTTAAAGTAAAAGGGGGTGGGGGGTGGCGCGTGCACAGCTCTAATAAAAACGTTTTGATGGGCTTACGAATATAAGCCAACAATATACAGTTTTTCATGTTGCCACGCAGTTGAGGCAACCAATTAGCGGATAGCTGCTGCCTCGGGCATTATAAAATTTAAAATGTACACAAATTCTGCACCTAAAAGCATTATAATTAATTTTTCGTTATTTTATGATAACGCGAAAATATATAATAATGGACATTGCACGTGAAAAGGTTGTTTGTGAAACAAAAGATTGGAGACTATTAAATTAAATCAAATAATGGAAAAGCTACTTAATAAAGGTATACTTTTCTTTGCACAAATTAATAGAATAAACAGGTAAAAAAAAGCATATAATAATGTATGTTATGATTTATAATAAAGGTTGGGAGAAAATGTCTTAAATCGCAGACGGAGATTCTGAGAGCAGTTGGAAAAGGCTCATATATTCTGAAGTTCATAAGTCAGTGCAATAAGAATTAAGAAAATTAGAAGCTAATTTTGTTAGTTTATGTCAAGAGCATAGAAAATAATGGATGTCTTTCCTCTATTGTCCAATAAATTACAAATTTGTGTGTCTAGATGACAAATACAAAGGGTAATTTTTAAAGCTTTTTACTTTGTTTCAACGGCTTTATTCTAATTGTATACTCATTTCGAACGTTTCGTGCCTTAAACCCCAGTTAGGTCATTTCAGAAGCAACGGCATTTATATGGAAAAACTAGGCTGAGGATTGCGATCGAAAATCTTAGTTGAATTATTTGTAATAGTTGGATCAATATTATTTTTGTTAATTAACTCGATGATGACTATTCTTAAAACCTGATGCTTGCTTAAATGAGGTGACAAACAAAGACTGGGGATCCGTGATTTTAGATTTAATTAAATATTGTAATTTTGCACGATTTTGATGCATTTCATCTATTACTTCAAAAAACCTATCGATTTTAAATAAATTGCATTTTATTTAGAAATTAATTTCAAACTTCTCCAATTAATATTATATATTATATATATAATATTACAAATATTCTACAAATTTCGTTTCAGTTACAGGCTGAAAATTTCTTTGCAAAGACGTTTTAAAATCCACACGTCTGCGAGTTTTTGGAATAGAAAGGCATTGAAAATTTTGTGTTGCATGCTTTCAGGCGCACATTTAAAAATCATCTGCAAATCAGTCCGGAATGCTTGGCGGCATGTAAAATCAAGTCAAATATTTGCCAACACGACAAAGTCACCAGGCATGACAAGCAAAAAGGACAACGCTTATGTAAACACACAAAGGCACACACACACACACGCGCGCACATCTTCATAGTAAACAAAAATGGAAGGAACTTTTGGCTCGGCCTCTCTTGTTGGCACAGGAAGCAACTCAGACACTTAAATGCTGCTCAAAATTGGATTTGAACAGCTTAGGCCGCATAGGCAAGCAAACACACTCACACAAATACATTTCTTTTTCAAGAATAGAGAGAGAGAGAGAGACACACACACACGCATGAACGTGCATGCTGATAAACATTTTTATAGTTAGGCAGCTACACTTGCCACAAGTCATGGCTCATCCTTTTTTTAGCGCTCTCTACGCCCTCAGAATTCCCCAGCTGCACATTAAACTTTTGCCAAATGTGTGTTTTTGTGTGTGAAGAGGGATGGGGGTGGCAGTGTCACTTTTATGCTTATTTAAAAAAGTGGCAGCGCTTCGAAGTTTTGATTTGATAAGGAAAGCAAAGCAAAAGAAATGCAAAAGAATATGATAGCAGAAAATGGTTTGCTACTCCATATCGGGTTGTGTGGCGCATAAGGGATGTCGGTTGGGGCTAACTGATAATATAGAAAGCGAACGAGCAAGCAAATACATACATTTATGCAAGTCACATACACACGAGCTTTTTTTTTTTTTTTTTTTTTTTTTTTTTTTTTTTTTTTTTTTTTACATATATACAATTTATTAAACTAGTTTTCTACTACCAATATGGCAGCTTAAGCTAGTTGAAAGTTAGGGAATACAAAAGTTGTCTATAGTAAGCATCTATAGGACGCACTTATATCTATGTACATATATACAATATTTACAATGTTTTACATGAAAAATGATTATATTTTATGATATATACTATGTATTTTATACAAGGGCTCTTGTGGGGAGATCCTTTGGATGGCACTTCTTCACACGAGCTTTTAATAATAAAAACAAGGAGCGTGTTTAATATGAAAACAAAGTAAACGCGAACGTCATCTGTGTGTGTTTCCCCATAAATGTGTGTGTGTGAGAGAGAGAGTGTTCTGAATGTCTTCATGCGTTCAAGGAAAGTAGAAAAAACCTGTTCCTGCAATGCAACAATCACAGCTGAAAAGTATGCTACTGTTTTGTTAACAGCTTCAGCATTGACTCCCCCTGTTTAATGCAAATAACAAGTCCAACAGAAAAGAATTCTCGTATTTGCTTTCAGTTCTTCACATAATGAAATGCAAACAAGGCATTAAAAATAATCATGCATTAGAGAAGCTTTTATAAAAACATGATTGTATTCCTTAATGGCTGCAACATGGCGTATGCGTAACCAGAAACTAATAGACCAATTATGCTTCGCACTTTGCAATTGCAAGGAAATTTTACTTTTAGCTCAAAGCACTAATATTTTCAAAAACCAACATAAATTTATTTATTTATTTGTATAGGCTAGGCTACTACAAAAGGTAAGTCCCTATACAATAATAGCGAATTTGTTGTTGCACCAGACAATGCCCCGCTTCTTAGAAATAACAGTAGAGGCGAGAATAGTTCAATAATAAATCGATCCATTGTTCTTTAAATGTGTATCATCGATTTTTCGGGCCTGGGAATCGATTTTTTGTAGGTCAAATTGAATCTTTTGAATGTTAAGAATAGGAATTCAGTATTGAGATTAGATTTCTTGTAGCTCAAATTAAAACCTTAAGATTCAAGGCTAGCATGATTTCTTAATGGAAGTAAAGTTGAATATCTGGGTATGGATAAGTAATATAAAAGCAATTAGAAAACCGTTTAAGAGAACGAAAAATTAATGTGGAAATACCATAAAACGGAAATTTACTGTCTGTCGAGTTTAGTTATTATGTGTCCGTATTCCAAGTTTCACTATGATAGATCGATTTAACAAAAAGTTATAGCCATAAATATATTTGGTGTTCAAGCGCTGCCCCCGGCTGTTCATGTTGCTGTTTGGTTGACTGCTAACATGTTTACACAGACACGAATAGATGCGCATAGGCATTCATACACTCACATAGACGCAATTGCTATGTATGAGTTCGAATACCGAGAGAGGTAAAATCGATCCAATTTTTTTTTTTTTAATTTTCTTAATTTTTTTTTTTTCTATAATTATTGTAAACATATGTACGGGGTATTTCACAGTCGGGACCCCCTACTTTAGCTTTTTTACTTGTTTTTAATAAAAAAGACATAAACTAAGCTTTAAATATCAGACTAATCGATTTGTTTTTGGTTCAAATATCGAAAAAAGGGCTTTAAAAAATAGAAACGAATCCAGCTCTAACTAATAATTTCTTGAAGCCGTTTGCGATGGCAAAAACGTTTCATTTAAAGAAAATGTAATTTTTTGTGGGCAATTTTCTTGTTGTCTCTGTATTTTACTTTTGCTTTTAAATTAATTAAAATATTTAATGCCTCATTATAAAGTGAAGTATGTATTACTAAAGTCGACTCGCAACAAAGTTCCTGTAGCGGGGAAAAGGATGGGCAGATTATTCAATAGTCATGTCTAATTTAAAAAGCATTTTGACACTTCTTGTTTATTTTACATTTTACAAGTGAATTTATTAAATGAAATGAAAAGTTTATATTGACTTACTTTCGTTAAGCAAAAACTATACCTCGCGCTTCTTACGAGATGAAGTAACATTTATTTTAAACTAATATTAAAAGTGATTTCGTAAACGAAATAGCTACTCGACTTTATTTTCTTTCTTTAAATATTCCAAGAGTTCTCTATTCTCTAGTTTATTTCATGTGACGTTTTCTTGAGGATTTTCTCAGCTGAATTGCTTACCGTAAAGATTAATAAATTAATTTTGTGTAAGTAGGTTTTTGCTTGGCAGTTCTTTTGTTGGAATAAAGTCTAACTATATTGGAAATTTTTTTCAGCAGTGTTTTTTTTAAAACTGTCCATCGTGGACAACCATTAAATTTGTTAATATATTGGAAATGAACTCAGTCCTTGTTATGGTGCTTACACATACTATATTAATGAATGCTTTAAATGCTGACAGATATCATTTAAAAATTAATCCTTTTTCACATGAAATAATACAAGAAACAAGAAAAATTAACGGTGGTGAAAACTAAAATAAAAGCCCCATACACAATGATTTATTTAAAAAAAAAAAAAATTTCTTCTTTCATAAATTCTAAGTTTTTATTTTCAGTATTTTGTTGATCAGTGCTTAACTTTGCGCCTATGACATATTAATTGTTTTTCAGATATTCACCTTCCTGTTCCTGAGACAAATCGGCAAAAATAAATATATTATTTATTTGTAAAGCCTTCTTCACTGTAAGATGAGAGTCTATATTGTTTTTGGCATGAAAGCGGTCTGTTTCAACCTTTTTGTAATTTACTGAGACGCAAAATCTGTGAGTAAAATATTGCTATTAATTGATTTGTGGTGGAAGATTGGGCGGTTGGGAAGGGTATATGGCTTCGGCACAGCCGAAAACAACGTAAAACAGTTGCGGCCCTTATCTTCACTAACATAAGAGTTCAAATTAAACACTTCATGTTCTTAAATTATCTAAAAGAAATACTTATTTTTACAAACTATAATCCAAAAATTTCATAAATTCAAAAATATAACTTAATAATAGAATGTTGCCTTCATAAAATAAATAAAAGAACAAAATTAAAAAAATAAAATAAAATCAAATAAAATAAAGACAAAATAAGACAAGAAATAAGAAAACCAATTAAATAAACCAATAAAAAATGAGTAATATAGTGTTGTCGAAAAAACGATGCCGGCCACTGTCTTGACGTGCTAACACCTTCAAGGAAACATGATATTAAATAAGGAGCGCAGCTGCTGATAGGCACAGCACTTGGGACCACATAGCACCACATCTGAATAGATTTGATGCTCTCGACTATAAGTAAGATTCTTGATATTGGTAAACTTCGGCTGAATGACGCGCTGCAGTAAATCCTCTGGACTGAGCGCATAGCACAGCTTGCCACACAGACATTTTGGGGATTCCGAGATGAGTTGAATGAGCACCGCTGGCAGTGTTGTGGCGGAGTAGGATATCTTATAGGAAGAAACGGCACGTGCAGCCTGCAGCCACAGGGGCGAGGGCATGTGGGCGGCAGGCACGCGTCGCACATGCGATTGCGCGGCCTCCGCATTGAAACCTTGAAAGCAATTGCCCCAAACATCTAGTACATCGATGTGCAAATCTTCAATGGCAGCCGGCAGTGATTCGAGCTTATTGCTAGAAACATGCAGCGATCGCAGCTTCTGCAATCGACGTATGCTAAAGGGTAGATGACGCAGCCTATTATGATTCAAATTGAGCGTAACCAGACGCTCGCATTTGACTAGCAGCGGCGGAAAATAACTCAGCCCATTGGCCGACAAGTCCAGATCACAGAGCGATGCATTTAACTTGCTGCCACTCATCCAACGCCAGTCCTTGTCTTCGCCAAGCGCGTTGCCGCTCAAAGTAAGTGATGTGAGAGAGAGGCGTCCCAGCTCCGGTGGAATCTAAAATGAATTGCTATAAGTTGTGCCCCAATTAAAATTCCAATAGCTACGTACCTTTGTTAACTTGTTTCCGCTCACATCGAGCACCGTGAGATTGCGCAGCGAGCAAACCTCAAAGCTCAGTTTCATTAGCTGTATGTTGGTAATGGTTAGGGATTTGAGGGTGCGCGGAAACCCCTTAATGGGATACTCGCTGCGCTTGGTAATAGTCATTCGTTGTTGGGGCTGCGCCTTTTGTGGGATGGCCGTAGCGGCCGCTATATTCAGTCTTAGATTAATGGCATCCTTGCCCTCCATGCCCAATTTGAGCGTTTGCAGAAAGCCCTTAAGCTGTATTGGATCACATTTGATGAGCAGATTCTCCGTCGGCTGTTTGAACCCAATGGTCGCCTTCCCGTCCAGCACAAACTTTGTGTGCACACAGTGTATATTGTCGTGCACTTTATAACGTGTGCCAGCCTTATTTTGTGGCGTAAAGAGTACCATTTCGAGTTCCTTTTTCGTGTTGCCATTCGCATCGCTAGCGCGCTGTTTGTAGCCAATGGCTAAGGTGGATTTGACGGCACGCGGTGTACGGTTGGCTTGGGTCACTCGGTTGACCAATTGCGTTTCACACAATATTTTCATTGTGCCGCATTTATCAATAAACAGCGGCAGTCAAACTAAGAAGTGCATTTGGTAGCGAATGGCACAGTTGGCCGCGGTGTTGCCACCTAATTGTAAAGAACTACAATCGGCGCGATTCACTGACGTGCTAAAGCATTAAGCTTTATGTTGCATGCAAAAACTTTTATTTCAAACACAATTTTTGCAATATGTGTATTACTACATAACGCCGAATATAGCTGAATGAGACTTGTAATTAGCCGTCAAACCTGTGCAGAATATAACAATAAACAGCTACAGAGTCAAACAAAAAACACAGTCTTGCCACTTTGATGAAAACAGCTAACACTTTTTATAACATTGAGCTTTAAGCAGGCCTGTTCGAGACGGCAATGAAAAAAATATCAAAATAAAACGTATATTTTCAACAATTTCTCAATTTACTCAATATGTGTGAAGTTCGCATACACTATCCAGCGCCAAATTTCAGCTCAATGGGGTTTGTAAATGGCCAATTTCAGAACTTGACTCTGCAAGACTATCGCGGCAAATATATTGCATTACTTTTCTACAACGGAGACTTTTTGAATGCATGTCCAGCTGAATTGATTGCTTTCAGCGATCGTGCAACGGAGTTTCGCGAGGTGGGCTGCCAAATTATTGCCTGCTCTACCGATTCTCACTTTGCACACGAAGCCTGGACACAATGGCAGCCGCGCTTTGGAGGATTGGGTGAAATAGACATTGCTTTGTTGGGTGATAAGTCCACCGAAATTGCCCGTCAATATGGAGTTCTATTAGAAACAGGCCATTCAGAACGTGCTTTATTTATCATCGATCGTAACGGCCTGGTGCGTCAGATTACAATAAACGATTCAAAAGTCCGACTCAGTGTTGATGAAGCATTGCGTTTGATACACGCTTTTCAATTCACTGATGAATTTGGCCTGAAGTGTCCTCCACAGACGAAATCGAACAAATCGTCATTCTCATAAGAAAAAGTGTAATTTTGTGCAAGGGGAGTGCGAGTGTAGCAATCTTTTTAACGAAATTCAAATAAAACTACCAACTGCAGTCGAGCTTTGCATGTTTCTTTTCCTCTGAATGACTAAAGCTCTAAGTTATCGTAAAAGCTCAGGACGGAACATAACTTAATGGTAGTAGTGCTGTGCATTGACAAAGCAGAGAAAATACGTAATAATTTGTTTTGGAATTTGTTCGAATACGGGAGCTCTTCATTTGAAATCACGGCATTGTCCACACAGCTAATTAAACGCAAAAAAATGCTTTTTCGTAAAGTTGTGCGCTTTCGCCGACAATTTCTTCCGTTTTATGTGTTTAATGGTTTTTTGTGACAACGCAACGAGTACCGTTATCAACGCCTGCGTTTTAACAATTACAACAATAACGCACACAGTCGTGAAGTAACGGTAAGTTAACAATATATAACAACTTGAAAGTATTATAGTATTGTATAAAATGCATAAAATAACATAACAAAAGAAAACTTGGGAAACGAAAGCTTCGAAACATGTGTTTAAGACGCAAAGATGTTGTCAGACACTATTGTGAATGGCACAGCGGCGTATGCATCAATAAACAAATGCTTTTAATTATGGTACAAAACTCCTATTTGCAGCATAACAACTGCTTACTGGACAACAATGCAAACAGCAACGTGATAATCAACATTGAAAACTGCGCGCTATTTAGCACCAATGTGAGTATTTAAACAATCTGTATATATACATATATTACATTTTATTTTGAATTAATACGGAACGACTACTTGTTTTTTGTACTTTTAATTCGCTTGAAACCTTTTTAATGTTTATTTCAACCAATTCTTTAATTTTGTGCATCTTTATATTTAAGTAATTAAGCAAGAACAAAATGGGAAAACGCATTAATGTTGGTTAAATGCAAGTGGTCGGATTATGTACTGCCAGCACATTACGCAGCTTTGTTTATTGCATTTCAAAATTTGTATTAAGCAGTTTGAACAGCTAGTCGACAAAATCAATCAAAAAACTGTTTTTAGAAACCGATTTTTATTCGTGGTAAATATTGTCGATCAGCTATTTAGCTGTATATTTATACAAAATAGGGATATATATTTCTTGGCAGAAAATAATCAAACCAACTTACTAATTTGTTTCCATATAAAAAATTAAACTGCCGTGTATTTAAGTTTTATCTTATCCTTTTTGTTATACATTAAAAACGGTCGTTTCGTCAACCTTTTTAGATTTGCTATAGATTAAACAGTTGTAGGAACAACCCGTCAATAATAGATGTTCCTTTTATTCCACATGCAACGATCTGGCATTTCAACAGCGCGCGGTAACAGCTGATCTACAGAGGCAGTCGATAACACAGAACAATCGATCAATGCAGCAGCGCCAAAGACAACGACGGAAACGTTTGTTAGTAATATTTCGTTGTTTTTGCGCGACGGTTGTATTTGGTTTGGCACTCGCCTGCGTCACTTATACGCTACACACAATGGGCTGGTTTATTGCCGTGCTCGTTGCGCTCATCGCCCTGCTGCTAACAAGGCCAGGCTGGCGCTGGTTTTACATTGCGGGAGCAACAGCCAAGCGAGACTTAACGTGAGTTTTATGTGAGACGCGGTCTCATGATGGGATTACAATGTACCGCAAAATGGTGTGCATTTCAATACAATTAGCTTTTCTTTTGTGCATCCATTGAGGCGATTTTGCTGCCGCTCGCGCGCTCAACCACAAAACCTCCAGTCTGCTCAGACTTAGACTTGGAGTACTTTGCTCGTTGAACCGCCGCCAGCCAGCCGACTAACGCTAAAGCGTAGAAAACTCGTTTTAGCTGAGACTTGTCTTATATTTTTCTTTATTTTTGGGTCACCAAAAAGTTGACTTTTATGAAAATTGAAAAGGTGCTCCTAATTTTTTATAAACAAACCCGTATTTGTCAACGGGTCTTTATTTATTACGCACGTTAACGCTAATATTTGGTTTTGCTCAGTCAATGACTGCTTCAGGTTCAAGGTCGATCCCCTTACCAAAAAATTGTGGCAGTGGGTCCGTTTCTTTTTATCGAAGCACCAACAAAATTCATTTCGCTTTCATTTAGCTAACATTTACAGCAAATGAAGACACTTAGAGGCCCTGCAGCGCATACTAATTTTATTGTATTTTTTTACATTTTCTTGTGGGTACCCAATTCGCTACGTCAGGCGGAAGACTCGGGGTCTGTTCTTGAAAACGTACGCCAGCAGCTCAGTTCAGCTAGCTTGGCAGTATTTTTTTTCATTTCGTTTTCATTTTCAGTTCAATTCGTTATTTCGTTGAATTTGAATTCAATTTAAATGGCGGAAGTGGCACTTTTTTCTCATATCAATGCTATTTATTGTTAGGGTGACCATAATGCCAAAAAGTTGCCGAAGATCATTGCCTTATTGAGCCTCACTAGAGTGTTGTTTCGAATTTCCATGGAAATTTCCGTTGCCCAATTTGTGTGGAAATCTGTGTGTGGAAAATGGGGGCTGGAGTTCATTGAACCAATTGATTGACTAAGGACTTGTCTGGCTGGCATTGACAGCAGAAACCAGTCACCATTTTTGAACACATGCAGCTAAATTTTGTTTTAATGATCGTTCAATTGGCAAACAAAACTTGAACACTCACGACTGCAATGGACCGGCTCTGCTCATTTCAAGGCTAGCAACAAAAATTCTTAAAAGCAGCAATTTAAAAATAAATACAAAATAAGAAAATGTTTATGGTAACGACCTTCTTAATAAAAAGCAACTTCAGCAACTTTAGAGAACATCGAATACCAAGTGCTTGGAAATATGTTTCGTTATACTTATTTGTTGTAATCTTTTCGGGCAAAGAGCAAAATGGCTGCGATTATCACTTTGCATAAATGTGGCACCAAATTTTACGGCTTATCAATGCCCCGAACCACTCGAAGCATAGCTGATAATAACGCTCTTTGCATGGGGGGAGAAATAATTATAGCTTTTAATACACTTATTGCGTATAATCTCTGGTTATTTGCAATACTCCTAAATTACTTAATCATGTCAATCTTATCAATGGAACTAGAAAAGTGCAAAGTACGGCAAAGAAAAGTGCAAAGCGAGTGCACATTGTAAGCTTCAATAGAAACAGATTCTATATAAATACTTGTACAAAGCAGCTGAAAACTGTTGTGCGGTTAAACCAAGTAATTGAATAGTGAATATCTATTATTTGTTATGACATTCATCAATAGCTTTGCTCGCCATTCTATAAGTGGTTATATATTTACAGTGAAATATATCGAGAGAAACAAGAATTTTTTACAGCATCACTGTTCACAAAATGTTAGATGTAATCGAACTTTCATAGCAGAAAAGTGAAAATAGTTCCACCAGACAACTTTGTTATGGTCAAAGATAGAGGATAAAGTCAGTCCCATATACATATATTTACTACATACTTACTAAGCATGGAAACCCTTAGACAAAGTTCGTATTTAACTTTTTAAAACGAAACCCATCTACTTATTCGTTTTTATGCAAAACGGTTTTACTTTTCAGTTCTAAGCAGCAAGATTTTAAATATCGTACAAAATACTTTTCCGACCGGCGGAATTATATGTAATTAAATCATAACATTCCAGACATCTGTTTTGAGCAATAAAGAGAACCCAAAATACATACGTACATACATACTTGTATATCAACTGCGTATGTTTTTGGTTCCTTGTGTCACCTTAGGTTCAAACAAGCTAACAATTAACTTGATTATCTCTCAGTATACAAGTACAAGACAAAGTTAATGTCTATGAGAAGAAAATGTTTATCCCATATAAGTTTAAAACCCCAATTTAACGCAAGTGCTAAAAGAATAGCGATACGTGTCTGACAAATAAATATTTAGATCTAAGAGGAAAATCTGTTAGTTTTTAGTTCAAACAAGTTCAATAATGAGATCACAGACGGACACAGACAAATTTTAGAGTCGAAGAAATGAAACATAAACTAAACTGCAATTTACCTCACTTGAGGGTCGAAACTTATTAAACGTATTTGGACTTAATCTTATGAAGAGTTGAAAATCTGATTAAGAGGTAAGGAAAGCATTCGGTAAATAGCAAATAAATGCTCTTCGTTTTTGTTCCGCAAATTTGCACACTTTCTTTGAAAATGTAAGCAACTTTTTAAATTGGGAACGCTGCGTTACCTTTTGACGAGAAAAATCCAACATCTTCTCTTATATAACGACGTCGTGTTGATGTTATGCTTCTCACTTTACGCTAAAATAATTTTAAGTTATTTTTTTTTTTTTTTGCCAGTCGTTAACTCGACTGACCTTTCATTAAAATGCAAACTTTGTTTTATTTGTAAACAAAAAACATAAACCTCCATATCTACAAATGTGGCTGCCTTGTTGTTTCAGTAAAAAAAATAAGTTCCCATAGCTTGATCTGATAGTTTATCACGACATGGCCATCTTATAGCCATTTGGCCATAAAGCGTACGGCTTTAAACGGCAGCTGGTCGATCGATTGTATTTAGCCATAAATAAAACGCCTTATCATTAAACAAACATTTGCTTTCTCGCTTCTCCTACACAGCGCGCTGCGTGCTTACATTAAATTGTTGCGCTACACGAAACGGCATGAGAAACTGAACCACACAGTGGCCGATGTCTTCGAATCAAATGTGGCGGCACATCCAGACAAGTTGGCCATTGTGAGCGAAACTCAGCAAGTCAGTTTCCGTCAGCTGGACGAGCATGCCAATCGTGTGGCGAATGTCCTGCAAGCGGAGGGCTATCAGAAAGGCGATGTGGTGGCGCTGCTGCTCGAGAATCGTGCCGAGTTTGTGGCCACCTGGCTGGGTCTATCCAAAATCGGCGTCATCACCCCACTGATCAACACAAATCTGCGTGGTCCCTCACTGCTGCACAGCATCACTGTCGCCCATTGCTCGGCCCTCATCTATGGCGAGGACTTTGTTGAGGCTGTGGGCGATGTGGCCAAGCAGTTGCCCTCAAACATCAAACTCTATCAGTTTAATAACGAGAACAACAACACCAAGACGCCAACGGACGACTTAAAGCATGCCAAGAATCTGAATACGTTGCTCGCTTCTGCCAGCCCCAAGAAGCCCACGAAATTATCGCAAGTTACGCATCACGACAAGCTCGTCTATATCTATACATCGGGCACGACGGGTCTGCCCAAGGCGGCAGTCATTTCCCACTCGCGGTAAATGGTCGAGAACTGTCATTCCTTTAAAATGTGTTTCTAAAATTTCTTACAACTTCCAGCTATCTGTTTATTGCCGCAGGCATTCACTACACGATGGGCTTCCAGGATGATGACATCTACTATACGCCTTTGCCGCTCTATCACACGGCTGGCGGCATTATGTGCATGGGCCAGGCTGTCCTCTTCGGATCCACCGTCTCCATACGCAAGAAGTTCTCCGCCTCCAACTATTTTGCTGACTGCGCTAAATACAAAGCAACGGTGAGTTCAAGGCTCCAAAAATGATAGAATTCTAACTTCTGGAGGGGATTGATCGCAAGAGTAAAGTTTGCAGCTCGCTTACTTAAAGTAGAGTGCTCATTTTTAGAAGAAGGTCCTGAGCAAACAAGGCATCTAAGGTTTTCTCGCTAAGTTCAATGAAGCAGATATTTAGTCTATCTAGTCTATCTTTCTGGGAGAGTACTATTTATGCTCTGCAATGTACAAGAGTATACAAGTATTAGGTTTGCGTGAGGTGAAAAATGCAACGAGCAGAAAGAGGCGTGGCGGACCCCACAAAGTACAAATATTCGTGATCAGCGTGACAGGACGAGTTGATCTAGCCCTACCTGTCCGCCCGTATGATCACATGGATCTCAGAGACTATAAGAGACACGGACACCAAATTTTGCACACCCCACTTTCCCCATATAGGGGATTTTTGGAAACGCCGCTCGTATAATAATCTATATCTCGAAAACAATAAGAGCTAGAGACACAAAATATATTTATTTCTAATATTACAATTTCGTTACTTTTTTCGATTCTAATAATTATTCTACACATACATATGTAAAAAGTATTACAAAGTCTGGACCTTAGCTTCTCCACTTGTTTTCTATAGTACTGAATTGTAAGGCATTTAACTAACTTAAGGTGAAGAATTTTAATAAAAGAGATCGATAATCAATGTTTGGGGACACAAAGTAGGGTCTACTTTTATGACATAGGCTTTTGAAACTAATGTAAAGCCCTTAATTAATATTTTTTAAAACACATTTAAAAAATAATACGTGCTCTAAATGAAATCTATTTGGGGCTTAACTGAGATTTCAGTTCGAATTTTGCATTCATATCCTGTCTGTTTTAAATCTGGGAAAATATTTGAAAGACCTTAAGGAATCTTAGGCACATTGGGAAATACCCAAATACTATTAATAACAAATTTCGAAGATTTAAATTCCATCACTCACTCACTCTTCTTTCAACTTTACAGATTGGTCAATATATTGGCGAAATGGCACGTTATATATTGGCCACCAAACCGTCTTCACATGATCGTGCGCATCGCGTGCGTCTGGTATTTGGCAATGGTCTGCGTCCACAGATCTGGCCGCAGTTTGTAGAACGTTTTAACATTGCCAAGGTGGGAGAATTCTATGGCGCCACTGAGGGAAATGCGAACATCATGAATCACGACAATACAGTGGGAGCCATTGGGTTCGTCTCGCGTATATTACCAAAAATCTATCCCATATCCATAATTCGCGCCGATCCGGACACGGGCGAGCCCATACGCAACAGCCAAGGACTCTGTGAGTTGTGCGCGCCCAACGAGCCGGGTGTGTTTATAGGAAAGATCGTCAAAGGCAATCCCTCTCGTGAATTTCTGGGCTATGTGGATGCCAAGGCATCGGCGAAGAAAATCGTCAAGGATGTGTTTAAGCATGGCGATATGGCCTTTCTGTCTGGTGATTTGCTCGTTGCCGACGAGAAGGGATATTTGTACTTCAAGGATCGCACTGGGGACACATTCCGCTGGAAGGGCGAGAACGTGTCGACCAGCGAGGTGGAGGCGCAGGTCAGCAACGTAGCCGGCTACAAGGACACTGTCGTCTACGGTGTGACCATACCACATACGGAAGGACGCGCCGGCATGGCTGCCATCTATGATCCACAAGGAGAACTGGACTTGGATGTGTTTGCCACAAATCTTGCCAAAGTGCTGCCCAGCTATGCACGCCCACAGTTTCTACGACTGCTTACCAAGGTGGATTTGACGGGCACCTTCAAGCTGCGCAAAGTGGATCTACAAAAGGAAGGCTACGATCCAGCCACAATCAAGGATGCGATCTATTATCAGACCTCAAAGGGTCGTTACGAACTGCTGACGCCCGAGGCCTACGCAGCAGTGCAGCGCAATGAGATACGTTTCTAGAACCGTTTGGCGAGCTAAAGACATTGGACTTTTTTTAAGAAAATAATGGTGTTGTGTTTAGGGGTTTGCCCCAATGTATGCTGTTAATTAATATGTAAGCAGGTCGAGTTTAGACTTAGAACGCAATTGATTTACCATTTCCAGACCAGAGTTGCACTTTTTTATATATATATTAACGATACCACTTGCTATACACATATGTATGTTTTCTCTATTAATAGGAAACGCACTCTGTGCCTTTTAAACATTTCTTTGCGTTTAGTGGTTATTGCATTTGAATATTTTAGAACAATTCTGCTAAAATGTTGTCTAAGTGCGTTTATTTTGTGTAAGGTCAGAACGGCAAATAGTTTGTACAACAATTTTTCGGCTTGAGAACAAATATAAAGCTAGAACTTAAAATTCTATAATTTTCTGCTAAGAAATGAAATTATTTTTGGTTCACTATGTATATCATCCCAACTTGTACGATAATACAAGTTTGTGTGCAAAATATTTCCTTGTCTGGCCGCGCCTTAACATATGGTCAGGCAGGCAAATAATTTGCACACAGACTTGAAATAACAAGATTCATGTCATCGACAAATTTGTGTGCAAATATTTGCATGTCTGACTGCAAATTTAAGATATGGTCACGCAGGCAAACATTTTGCTCACAAATGTGTCGATGTCATTTTAGAGCGTTAAGAATTCCATGCTAAAATGTAAAATTCTCCAACAAACAACTTCTTAAAACACCACAAACTTGTGTGCAATAATTTGCCTGTTTGGCCGTAGATTTAGTTTGTAGTAGCGTCGAGTCTTTTGTACACATATTGTGTTTGTAAAAAATAAAGTTATTTACTTTTATGTATGTAAATACTTATGTGTGCACGCGTAGCCGCAAGGCTCGTCAATAGCAAATTCTCTGATATCATAATAAAGTTTTTCAATCTCCACATAGAAATATTTAAACTATTTGTGCGTTATGTATAGTAAGTATGTTAAGTATTTGTGATTCACAATGTTTTGTGGTAGAATAATTGACGCTATTGCCGGCCGCACGTCGTCGATTAGCCGTGCCTTGCATGCAAATGAAGTGCTTTATAAGTCGCTTTATATACACGCTGGCGGCATAAGTCGTTACAAGTACATTGGCTTGGCAACAAAAACAACAACTGCTATAACCCTAGTCGACTAATTTATAACTGCAGTGAACTTGAACCCGTCGACATTGGTTAGCCAATGCAGGTGCACTCAACCGAAGCTTTTGGCTGCAATTTAATATAAAAGTTTTTCTTCCACTATAAATTTGTGGGCAGAATCATTCAGCGTGGGAGCTCATTTGGCTAATTATTATGTTATCGGGACAGATTTTGTAAATATTTCCATAATGATGCAACTAATTTCATTTTTGATTTTCATGTACATATGTCTCATAAATGAAATAAATTATTTAACCAATTTAATGATTGTTCACGATGGACAGTTTTAAATAAAAACACTCTGCTAATACAAAACAAGAGAGAACGCTACAGTCAAGCAAGCCCGACAGTAAAATAGCCTGACTTACCACAAAAAGGAAAATTAAATTATTAAACAAATTAAATTAGTTAATTAAATTAAATATATTTAATACATACAAAAGTGAGGATGTAGAGTTTCAACAGCATACATTTACATCATCGTGTCTATGCACATAATTATGTCAAAGCACCAACTATAACTTTCGTATTAATTAACCTATCGTAACTGGAGTAATCATTACTGGAGGTAATTGCCAAATCTGAGTTCAAAAGTCCAGAAATGACGGGAGTTATGGGAAAAATGGAATTGCGGGGGAGTGGGGGTGTATTAGAAAAAAAAACACAAACTCGATCTGCCTAGGGCTTAGAGGAACCTGAATGCCAAGTTTGGTTATCCTAGCTATTGTACTTAATGAGATCGTCGCGCTCATACAGACAGACGGACGGACAGACGGACATGGCTATATCGACTTGGCTTGTCATCCTGATCAAGAATATATATACTTTGTGCGGTCTGCCACGCCTCCTTCTGTATGTTCGATGTACACTCGCACAAAACTAATATACCCTTTTACCCTTTGGGTACAGGGTATAAAAAACATGTCAAATGTCACTTGTAGTGGCACGATCAGATGGGGGCTGAGAACGCCCTTAAATTTGACGACGTCAAGCTGACCGTAGAAGCTACAGCGCCTGGAAACTTATAAGAACTTTGTGCGGCGATGGTTCAAGTAAGTAGAGTAGAATTGCTCCTGATTTTTCCAGAAAAATAAAACCAGATTATTGGGCAGAGTTATATATTTTGGCGATTGGGTCATTTTTTAAAAGAGGGTAAAAATGGTAATTAGGTTTGTTCAAATTATGTAACAGGCAGAAGAAAGCATCTCCGACCCCACAAAGTATATATATTCTTGATCAGCGTGACAAGAGAAATCGATCTAGACATGTCCGCCCGTACGTCTGTCTGGATGAACGTCAGGATTTCTGAAACGGCTGAACTGAGCCAAGCTTGGCATGCAGATACTCCTAGTCCCCAAATAAACTGGTATTATTTTATTTTCTTGTCTCCCCCCAGTACTATGCACACAAACTGCGCCATCAAGTTCTCTCTTCTTAATTTTGCTCCTTCTTGAGGCGCATATTACTAACAGCCGGTAGTTTGTCTTGGTACTGGGTATTTCAGTGTCGAGCTTGCTTGACTGTAGCGTTCTCTCTTGTTTTAATATGTTTGACAAACACTTTTTAGTGGGTTTGTCAGAATAACGTTTGCAATATCTTTGCGAAAGGGCATCCACATCTAGAGTCATCAAAACGAAACGAAAACGGAAGTTGATGATTTCGCAACTGTGCGAAAGGGCATCCACATCTCATCCAAGAAACACCAACAGGGGGCCATGGGCATCCTTTGTACAGACGACGACCCAATCAAGGAGGTAATCGAAGACATAAAAAGCGAAGGACGTATTGAGAAAGATGTGACGTCGGAAAGATTAAAAAGCACTACAATTCAGTGGCGCAGCAACGCACGCCGGAAACGTTAGTACATACATACATATATAAAGTCAAGTGACTTGTTTTCATTTTTACATACATATATATGTATGTGTTAATATTTGAGAAACAAGTGCTTCAAAACTGATGACGTTTTTCAATATAGCAATAAACATTCCTTATTCATGAAACCTGTTCCAACTTTAACCACTCCATAACCGAAAAACTGAATTCTTATTCGAATATTACATATGTATATGGTCGAACTTCGACACGGTATTTATTTCAATATTAATAATAATTATAAACCCATTCCGTTGTGGCTCAGCACGTTATGGATGGTGTATGCTGATGTAGTTGGTTGCAAATGTTGAGCCAATATCTAGCAGAAATCGAAAATGCAACGCTCTGTCCAATTAATTTAATGACAAATCCCAAATGTATACATACTAAATCAAGTATTATGATAATTTTATCAAGCATTATAACTCGAAAGTAATATCAAATCATCATTAAATTGTGAAAACTTGCCAACACCAAAAATGGTGACTATCTCTGCCGGTTTTATTCAACCGTCGCTCTCAAAATGTGTCAGGGTGACCATCTTCGAGTTGCGTGTTGCGTATTTAAGATTTTTAAAAGCGTTTGCATTTTAGTGTGCAAAACGTCTTTCAGATAACGGTGCAGGCAGTAATACGTTGGTTTTTCTTCTCTTGCAGCTGCCAAGCGTCAGATTTATGTTGGACTCATTGTTGGATTGTTAAATTGAATTAAATGGTAAACAAAAAACAATGCCGCTGCTCAAATGTCTAATCGAACTGCGTCCAAATTTACGCACTGCAGTCGTTTTGCTCCATTTTGATGGATTGGTGACCGAAAACAATTCTCGCATCGAGATTGATGAGCAGGGCGTGAATGTTTGCGAAACACTGGAGAACGGCAGCGTGAAGACTCAGTTAATAATAGAGTACAACGCTTTCGGCATGGATATCCATAATATTACATCGTTTATAGTGGCTGACAACCATATTTATTTCCGCTTCAATTACAATCGCATCGACTTGGAAGCGTTGGAGCGACAGAGCGTGCTTGTGGCGATGAAGCCGATCGAGCTGCAGTTCAAGGAGAGGTCAGCGCCCTTCGCGCTGCACTGCATCAGCTGCTCGGCGAAGCTTGTCTCATCTTGCAGCTATGGGCGCTTGCGCGAGTTCCCACATGGTATTGTCGAGCCGGCCGATTTCTATTGTGACATGGCCAGGGGACCTGTGCCGAACGCATTGCTGGTGCCCGGTACTACAGATCTCTTCTATGGCCTTAACTACATTGTCCTCAAAACGGACGTCGTGTTGAGTCGTGTGGGGCTGCACGACAGTTTGATCTATTGCGGGAATTGTTTGCGGTTGCTGGGAAAACTGATTTTGCAGGGTTTAGCTGCCAGATTGTGGGCAGACACAGTGCATTGGAGTCTTGAGATTGAGGAGAATAAGGAAAGGACAGAAAAGGAAAGCAAGGTTCAGGCAGCAGTGCACCATTATGATCCGCATCCGATCTTCAAATACGACATGATCACTCAATTCATGCTACGCCTGCTGCACTGCCTCTGGCGTCCGGTGATGCCGCAGCTTTCTCCAATATCGAACAAGGTCCTGTTGTGGTGCACGCTGCCGAATCGTGAGCTGCGGAAGGTGCTGCTTCTTGTTCTGGATCCTGACTTGCGCGTGTTGCGTCGTTATCCTCCCGGCCATGAGAGCCTGTGTGGCTATCGTGCCTGCAAGCTGTATTTCAAAATTCTGGACATAGTGAACGTTAATCACACCTACCTGGATCAAATCCCATGGGAGGACCAAAGGGAAGTGCCTCTGTTAGAGGTGTCGCACGTCATGTTCTTGGCACTTGTGGCGCGTTTGGAGCTAAACATGGAAACTGTGCCGGAAGCTTGGCGTTACAACACATGTACGGAGAAAATGCTGCTCACCTATTTCTTTTATGAGGACGAACCGGAGGAGCAAATTATTGCCGAACAATTATGGGTCGCACAACAGCTTAAAAAGAACGTGATTGTTCCGGATAGCATCGATGCAAATGATGAGCATTCCGATGAGTCGTAGTTGTATAAGATTAGTCAATGAAGTTGATATTATAATTTGCCTGCTCTTAGGATATTATTGAAGTGCTTTCGTTAAGTTTTTCCTTATTATAAGCTAGAATAAGTTGTTATGCGTAAAGAAAGTTACACTAAAAATACCTAAAACCGTTTTGTTTTGAAAACATTAAAATTAATAGCCATATGCATACATTTATAATACAAACTCTAAGAAATTGCTTGTAAAGAACTAATTGTGTTGCTAAATATATTGCTTTCGGTTCAAGTGGTTGTAATGCCCAGAAAAAAACATGACAGGGTCACAGCTAAAGCTATTGGACTGGACCTGTTCAATCTTTTCAAGAAGAATATTTGTAAAACTATGAACAGACGTATCATATCATGGTCGTCATATAGCTTCTATAAGATTTTATACATTCTGTACCCGTAGGGTAAAAGGGTATATTAGGTTTGTGCAAAGTATGTAACAGGCAGAACGAAGCATCTCTGACCCCAAAAAGTACATTCTGAATCAGCATGCAGAGAGAAATCGATCTAGACATGTCCGTCCGTTTATTTCAATTTTTGGAGTTTCCTTTCCCTCTCCCGGCTACAGATTTTCGTGAATACTTTCCACATTTGAAAAGCTACATAAACCAAACCTTGCACAGGCAATTTATATACTTTGGTTTTAAATTTCATTTAAATCGGTTAATTCTAAGAAAAGTTATTAGCGAAACAGTTTCACTCCAGTACTACGCCCACAAACTTCAGCCTCAAGTTCGCTCTTCTTCTTTTTTGCTATGCTAGTGGCGCTTAGATCTCAGTGTCAGAAGTTTGTTTGGGTACAGGGTATCTCACTGTCGGGCTTGCTCGAATGTAGCCTCTATTGTTTAATTACATACCTTGGTTGGAAAGATCTCTGCAGAGCTTTTGTTAATGATTATTCATTATACTTGTAGTATACCTGACTTCTTGTGTTGAGTTGCTTTACAGATTTAAACATGTTATCAGTTTCCTTAAAACCTTGGCTTAATGTGATATTTAATTGATTGACAAAAGTATCAATACAAACTATATACATAATATAATATTACAGTACAACATACACACCAAATGTGATATCCGATGTCATACAATTATTTTCTCTTTTTATGTTAAAGTAGTCAGAATTATTTTTGTAATTTTTCAAATGCTTTTGAGATATTGAGAAAGTTTCAAGGTTAATTAATTATAGATATTGTTTGGACCAAACTATTAGGTTCAACATGGTTTGGATTTCGAATTTTGCCAAGTTTTAAGTCAAGATGTTCGAACATCTGGCGTTGTTATACAGGCGTCTCTGTAATATATTTGATTTATATACTTTGATTTTATATACTTATAATAAATAATTTTCTAATAAAACTTGAAATTTTAAGAATAAATATATTATTTGGTCTATCTCGTCGTTAAGGTAAGCAAACATTTTGAATTGATTAGATTTGCAAACTTGAAAATGTATTATCTCGCTTGTTCCAGTTTCAAAACCAATCAAATTTCTTGATTCTTTATACAAGTGGAAAACTATAATATCGAGCTTGTTTCAGCTTCGCAATTGATCAAACTTCTTGAAATTTATAACCGAATTTTCGGAACTGAATTGAAATTCTACAAAGCCCAAGGAAGAGATTTTAAACCACAATTATAACGAAAAGAAATTTGTTTTTATTGAGTCAAAAACAAATTGAGTTATTTTACGCTAACGTAAACTTTTTCGATTGAAAGTTCACCCTAAATGTGAAATAAAACATTTAAATTACTTACAAAATGGTGCTTGTAGATGCGATTTCTGGAATATCTATAATGATGATCGTATAGAAATGAGGCTATTATAGTCTTAACATTGAAACAATGTATGTATATTGATAATTTTTCAATTTAAAATGTTAATATTATTCTGTGTTAATTGCCATTTGTTTTTTTAGACATGTTAGACACGAGTATCAACATATCCATTCCGATCAGTGGCAGCACTATAAATAGAATTAAACTCGTTTCGCTGGGTAGATAGGACAGGTTATGAATGTGAAGCTCTGGCTTTCAAACTTTAAGCGATCCAAGAGTAATCAGCAATACTAGCGTCGGATGCCATTTAATAAAGACTGCAAACTAATTAATCCAATAACAAATTTTTATTTATTTCTCAAAAATCAACAGATATTCAAATTCTGGCGGGTAGAACGTAAAGGAAACACATTTGCTGAAGTTCCATACAATTTGAATGAATGTGAATGTTTCAATTGGTTTTATTTAATTTAGTTGAAGCAAATAAATTGCTAGAATGCAACCTGCATTATCAGTTTAAGTACCTTCGCCTGGAGGGGCGGCGTCAAAATAAAGGAACAAACATACATTGAGTGTGAGAAATTTTGTGCGTTGTTGTTATCATCAACGTGTTTTACATAGCGTGGCAATAAACAAATTAAAATAATTTTCATTTCAGCAGGAGTGCGGGGCGCTACGCAACGTCTCTTGAGGGCCATCTCATACATCTAATGTTTATGTACAACTAAACGATAAGTACACATAAGTCTTTTACAAAAATCACAAAAAATTAACACGAACCAACCAACTTAATCAAGCCCGGAGGAGGAGAAAGGAGCAGTGTGGGTGAGAGCCACAACTCATTTGTTGAATCCCATGGGGATCATCACAGCTTGCACAAGCAAAATAGCAGCGGTATGAATGCTCCGATGGCAATGAACACGGGCAGCAATATGGACGAGTCATCCATGGAATAAGGATTGGGCTGACGTGGTCCGCTCTGTACGCGCTTGGCCTTTGGCGCACCTTGCGGCAGCTGGTGTTGCTGTTGCTGTCGGTTTTGTTGCTCGGGCTCCTCATCATCCAGCAACTCGTCAGCGTCCTCACCATAATCAAAGTCATCGTAGCGGGCAGAGGGTTCCACATGCTGCTGCTGTGGGACTGGCTTGCGCACCTCCGGCTCATTGACTTGGCCAACGGCGTCTTTTTCATCGGCGACCTCTACATTTTGGAGACGTGGCAAGCTCTCAAAGTCACCTTTGAGCAGCGCAAATGCATTGATTTTCGGATTGTCCAGAGCACCCTTGATGAACTCTAGACGTAGACGTCCATTGCGCACATCTGACTCTTCATGCTTGTACTGCAGGCGACCATTGCTGATCTTGAAGTAGATGATCTCATCGTGCGCCGTGCCGCGGCCCACTTGGTTGTAAATGTCCAGTTGGCGCACCACCGTGTGCTTGCGGTTGAGTACCACATCAAAAACCTTACGGTTGGGAGCATCGAAGTATACCTCACAGAATTTCATGATTAGCGCATAGTCGCCATCGCCATCCGTTGGAAAATCATAGCCAAAGGTGGTGGTGTGGTACCGTTCTGTTCGATACAGTACCTCATCCTGCTCGTGCACGCGTCCAATCATCAGCAAATGCTTGCCATAATCCGAAGCAATGCCTATCCGCAAAGGATCCGCCTCATAATGTATGCCATTCCGATCCGTATGATCGTCCCCGCCAGCATTTACCGCGTAAACCACCTTGAGGTTCTCGGCGAGCGCCGCTGGCAGCAGGCACACGAAGAGCACCGTTAGCAACAGAATTGCAAATGTTGGACTACTTGCCCGCAAGTAGTTCCGGTTCAAGTGATAATCAGCGACATCGTTGCACTTGCCGTTGCTGCTGCTGCTTTTTGTTGTTGTTTTGATTGTCATTTTCGTTTTCTTCATTTCGTTCTTCGTGTGTTGTTGTTGCCGGTAAACGGTGCACGTGGCACTAGCACTGGAATGTGCCCAGTATTATTTTGGGCCCGCTACGAGCACTGCTGCTTAATGCCTTAATTTGAATTCGTTGCGACTAGAGCGCGTGGATATGCATTATAATTGAACAATTTTTATGTTTTTCCCAAAGCTGCGACTTGTGTTGTCGAACGTCAGAGCAAAAAAGAAATATATATCAGCGTACTACGATTAGTCGCAAAGCTATCGATTGTCGTTTATCGAATGAAGTAGCGCTAACATGCGCTTGCCAACACTGTAAAGTCGTCTACACGTGCAGTGTCTAATGGCAAATTTATATGAAAAGTAGCTGCATTTACCGTAAATTTTAGCAAGTAAGCAGCACAATCGCGAACAAAACACTGCACAGGTGTGCAGCACACCCCAAAAAAGGAAGCGAACACAAAAATTAAGAGGCCATAGTCATGAATTTCGAAGGGGAAGACAAACTAGAGCTGCAGCATTTGGCTGGCGGTAACATTGTAACACAAGAGCCCGTTTTTTCGGAACAGGGAAGGTTAGTTTTAAAACCTATTTAACGGTGTAAAACAAATTTATAATTTCTTTGCCTCCTGTAGATTTCTTTTTCTGCGCAGTGGCCTCAAAGTGTTAGTGTTTGTCTCTCGAACTGGCGAACTGACACGTGAGCTGACGGGCGCCACGGCGCCGATGATAAGCCTGGAATTGGAGCTAAATCAGCCGGAGGTGCTGGTGGGCTGCACAAGCACTGGCCAGTTGTTGCGTTGGCATTGGCGTACCGGCGTCCTTCAGAAAACCACACCCATGCGCTTGAAGGGCGGCAGTGAGCTACAAGTTGCAACATGCAATTTCCTCAATTTATACAAGGAAGGCGATACGGCATGCGCTTTTGTGACAGCGAAACGCAGGGCTGGCCAGAAGTTGTTATGGTTTGTGGTCAACACCAGCACGGGAGCCGTCATCAATATTGAATGTGGCCTGCAGCTAAAGTAAGTTATAAGACAAGCATTTTATTGTGCCTCTTTGAAAACCAACCTGTTGCTTCTTGCAGAGTACGCACACCACAAGTAGATGTAGGCAAAAAGGGCTATAAATACATAGTTATATCCCAGGGGTATTATGTATATTTTGTCAACTATGATAATTGGCAATTTATTCGTTATAAAAACGCCAATTGCACGCTCGTGACATGCATCCGTTTCAGTCCAGCAGAGGAAGCTGTGGCTACGGGCGATGAGCAGGGCCGTATATTAATTTGGCGTCAGTTTGGAAATCATAAGACCATGAAGAACGCGCTATATCACTGGCATCACACGGCAGTCACGAGCATAGCATTCACGCCAACAGGCGCCAACTTTTATAGCAGCGGTATGGAGGCCGTGCTCGTTAAATGGTCTATGGCACGACCCCAGCACCGGGAGTTTGTGCCACGCATGTCCAGCATCATTCGACATGTGATTGTGAGCGATGGTAATGAACACATTGCCGTATGCACCGACGATAATGCCGTACAGTTTGTGGGACCCACGGATCAAAGTTTAATATCCTCATTGCAACACTTTACTTATAGCGTGCCGGATAAAACTGGCAAGAGTCTCTTTCCACTCGGCCTTTGCCTGAACCCACGCACCAATACTCTGGTACTCAATGGCCGCGTGGGCCATTTGCAGTTCTATTCCGCATATACGAAAAGTTTGCTTTATAATGTGCGTCTGGTCTTGAATATGTTATTCCGTTTCCACTTAACTAAATTATTGATTTACTTTTGCAGTTACGCGTGGTAAAAGCCAACGTACTTAATTACGAAACGGATCGTATCATTTACAATACACGGGTTACCCGAGCCGCCTTTAACATTGATTGGATGGCCACGGGTGAGGTATACAATGATGAAAAAAATTTCACCGAAGTGCGTCTAAAATTCTGGCTATACAACGAGAAACTGCAGCGGTGAGGAAACACCTTTTTACTACATACATTTGTTTATTTAATTCTCTTTCGAACAGTCGAATTTTAGTAGAATTTTAGTGGATTGTTCGGCATTGTAGCATGAAATTAATATATCTTTATTGTTTTTATTTGCAGTTACATTCTGAACACTCATATTGAGATGCCGCATCAGTATGGCTTTAAGTCCATTACGTTTTCAAATCAGTTTCAAGTGGACCATTTGCGTTGTGCCACCATTGGCAAGGATCATGTTATAAAACTCTGGGGCATTGCGAAATCAGAGAACATTTATAAAGGAGGCACAATGTGGAATTGTTTAGCACAGACTTCGTACAAAAATTTTCCCATCGAATCCATATGCTTCTCGCAAGATGGCTCAGTGCTGGCTGCTGGCTATGGAAACACGTTGTGTATATATGACGCGAGAACTTTGGCGCTGGTGCATGCGCTTACCCCACCGGGCGGCTATGATGGTGTGGCGTCTAAGGTGCAGCTTCGTCTATCCAAAACGCCTTTGAATGGCGCACGCAAAGAGTTGACAGACCAACGTCAAAAACTCTGGACTATATTGAAAACATTGCTGATCAGTGATGATCAGAAACTGGTGCAGGAAGCTAATCAATTAATAGCAGCGGCACCCAGAACTATACTGAAGCCTGATGATGCGCCCCTAGATGACAAAGGGCCTTCTATCTTTAAGTACATTATGCAAATGCCCGAGCTGAGTTTGCATCAAAAGCTGCAGTTGTTTCGTAGCTTCGGCATTGAGTGCAGCATCCCAGAACAGTGCTGCAAACGTCTTGTGGCGCACTTGCAGAGCTGTGTTGTGCCGTCCAGTTCGCGTTTCAAATTTTTGGGAGGGCGGCTGCAGCGAATAAGTCTGCGACACCGCTTCAAAGCGAAACAGCGTCTAACAGAAGTGAAGACGCGCCAACAGCAATACGAGCAGATAGTCAATGAGGAGGTGTTGCCGCTGCTCAGTGTCCTCCAGCTGGACACACAGACTCAACCTGCTATCGCCCATAAACGTAAACGCACCCAGTCAACAGCGACACCAAAACCCCGACCGGTTCCCTGTCCAATGCAATCTTTGGCCGAGATTTCGCACGTGCAATTCGGAGCTGGCGGCCAGGCCCATTTAGTGACCGTTTGTACAGATTCACGAGTGCTCATCTGGAATCTGATGACATTGCGTCTGCAGGCGGGACTTAAGTTATCTGTAAAACATGTGGCCTTTGATCCACAAACAAATCTGCTGGCTGTGGTCACGCGCAACCAAGAACGTAAGTACTTAAGCTTTAGAGAATTATATTATTCCATTATTTGTTCGACATTTAATTTGAGTATCATTTTTTTTTCATAGTACACGTCTTCCAGCCAAATGTACCGCTGCCCGTTTATCAGCGCTTCAATATCCCGAAGCTGTACGGCCTGGTGTGGCTGCCGCGCCGTCAACCGAAACAGAGCTCCATAAACATTGATTGGCAGGCACAGTCCACGTTGCATATGCTCACTGAGACCCAGGAGATTGTCTATTTGGCGCCACCAGGCGTGGGACTATCAGATGGAGAGCCTGCGCCCGTTGCATTTACACAACCTGCGTCCGAAATGCTGCAATACGCTACATTTGGCAGCTATGCGCTGAAGCAGCAGCGTGCAAACGACACAAAGAATTCGAAAGGAGCGAATAGTGGACCGCTGATCGTGGGTCAGCGAAAGACCAACGTGCCAAATGCGGTAAGTCTTTAAGTTATGCAGGAACTGCTATCTTTTGATTTGTCAAAGCGCCTTTTTATTAATCTCTTGAGGAATTTTCATAACAAATGCATTGTCATAGGACCTTATATTAGCATGATAACCATTGGTCCGCCCTTTATGCCTATTTAGATTGATGTTGTACTTAAAAGTCTCGGTCACTCCAAGTTATACAATTTATTGAGTCTCGTACCTATAAGAATTATGCAGGAAGTTTGAGTTTTTATCCAATCGTAAAATAATTGTTCCGAAATTACGCCAAACAAGAGAGAACGCTACAGTCGAGCAAGGCCGGCAGTAAAATAGCCACAAAAAAAGAAAAACTAAAAAAAAAACAAACGACCTGCCTAGGGCTCAGGGGAACCTGCATACCAAGTTTGGTCATTCTAGCTCTTGTACCTTCTGAGATCCTTGCGCTCATACAGACGGACAGACGGACATGGCTATATAAACTCGGCTTGTCACCATGATCAATAATATATATACTTTGTGGGGTCTGCCACGCCTCCTTCTTCCTGTTACATAGATTCGCACAAAACTAGTATAGCCTTTCACCCTTTGGGTACAGGCTATAAAAAAAGAAATGGGTTTCAGTATAGCAGAATCGCAGGGGAAGGCTATGAGCTATGGTGCCTAAAGCTGTTTCGGTTAAGTGCCTTGTATGAGAAACGCGGAGGTGGGCGGTGGGGTATTTAATAATTATTTGTGTAATATAATAGACTTTAGAAGGGGGCAGTCTTTTTTCCAATCGTAAATACTTGTTCTGATATTGATGCCTTAGTGGCTAGTTGCTTCAATTGAAATGGACAGAGGAGGGCGCGGAATAAAACATAGTCCGAAAAAATAGTTTTTCTATTAATTTTAAATTTATGGCAATATATTACTTTTACTTCTGTTCCAATCGCAAAACATGAGTTTTTTAAATTAAATGAAGAAATCTCGGATATTTCATATAATTTAAAGACATTTATTCAATTCATTAAGGTTTGACATAAAGTATTCAGTTCGTTAGTAAGAAATTTGTAACTGAATTCAAACATGTTTCTAAATTTCCCTTCGTAAACTATTTAAATTTATTCCTCAAAGGGTTTCTTGTATTGCAACTTACAAACTATGAAGTACAAGTGGTTGCATCTTAAATTTAGTTTAGCATAGTTTTTTAATATTTGGTTTAGCTTTGGTCTTGTTGTATATCCTGTTATATAGTTCTTGTTGTTCAGTCATGTGCATTTTGCGTGGCTTGTGCGCTTGATTTGGACGTCGTATGACAATTTATGTTGCATAAATCGGTGAAACCATAAATCCAATTACTTCTTCTTTCTGAGCAGGACATCCCCCATTCTAGGCGCTGTGGGCACCCGCAAGTGCCGGCATCGTCGCATCATTAAGACGTCGTGTTTGAAATAGCGAAGGCAATGCCATTGGGGCACCTTGGGCATGAGTTGTTGGTGCTGTGGAGAAATAGGGGAATAGAGGGAATCAATAAGACTAAGTATTTAAGTAGTGCTTTTGAAATTTTAAATCTGCAACTATATATTAGCAAGCAGCCCAGCCTACTAACTAACACCTGGCCAACGTGTATGTCTACGTTGCCATTCTCAGAAAGTGTTTCCAGGCGTTGTTGTCAACTCAATTTGAATAATTTCAATTTACTTTAATAATGCAATTCTCTTAGGGCTGGCTCGGTTTATTTTTGGATATGGTTGCCATTCAATTGTGCGGTGGTTGCGCATTTCTTTTGAGCTGCTGTATCAGTATAGGAGCAGACAGGTCACATACAGAAAGGTTAAGTGCTGTCTGTGACTTCGAATAGGTCGAACAGGTAGATTTTTTGTAGATTACAACTGAATAGTTTCTAAATTTTAGGTTCTTTATTCTTTTAGGTCAGGGAGATCGCCTCTTCTAGTCCAGGATAGATTATTCCTATACATGTCAGTCTAGTTGTATTTAAAGTATATATAAAATATGATTTTTTAAGTTGTTAATGACACATCTTAGACACATCCCATTCCCTTGTTTACAGAAGTACATATTATCACAATGGCAATTCTACACCATAATCAACACTATTATCATTCGTGACAACTCGATTCGAATTTTTATACTCTGTACATGAAATGTACAGAAGTATATTAGGTTTGCGGGAGCTGAAAAATGTAACAGGCAGAAGGAGGCGTGGCAGACCCCACAAAGTATATATATTCTTGATCAGCATGACGAGACGAGTCGATCTAGCCCTGTCTGTCCGTCTGTCCGTCCGTATGAACACCTGGATCTCAGAGACTATAAGAGATAGAGACATCAAATTTTGCACAAAGATGCGTTATGTGTGTATTCTATACGAGTTTGTTTTATTTTTTTTGATTTTCACCCCCACTTCCCCCCTATGGGGGTTTTCCCGATTTTCCATTCGTATAATCGCCTATATCTCGGAGACTATAAGACCTAGGAACACCAAATTTTAGTCCCAGATGCCTTATGTGAATACGCAGAAAATGTATATTTTGGAATTTCCCTCTCTCCCCCCTCTACCCCGCAAATCGTAACTCCCGTAATTCTTGGAATTTCGAACTAAAATTTTGCAAATACCCCCAGTTAGTTATTATGTGTCCGTATGCCAAGTTTCACTATGATAGACCGATTTAACAAGAAGTTATAGCCATAAATATATTTGCAGCTGCAGCGCTGCTCAAGCGCTGCCCGCGGCTGTTGTTGATGTTGCTGTTTGGTTGACTGCGAAAATGCTTACACAGACACGAATAGATGCGCATAGGCATACATACACTCACACAGACGTAATTGCTATGTAAATGTGCAATTATAAACCCTTTACGTGAGTTCGAATACCGAGAGAGGTAAAATCGATCAATTTTTTTTTTTATTTTCTTAATTTTTTTTATTTTGTATAATTATTGTAAACATATGTACAGAGTATTTCAAAGTCGGGACACCCGACTTTAGCTTTTTTACTTGTTTTATATTAGAGATGCTGCTTTCTTAAACATTTTGGTAGTTCTTATACCCAGTAGCCGTAGGGTAAAACGGGTAATTAGGTTTGTGCAATGTATGTAACAGGCAGGCGACCCATAAGCGCACATTAACTAAACGGTATATAGATGCTCCTAGTCCAAACAAACTTTGCACACACAATTAATACAAAAAATTATACTTTTTTGTTCAAATTTCATCCAAATCGGTTAATTCTAAGAAAAGTTAGCGAAACAATTTCACTCTGGTACTACGCCCACAAGGTGCAGCTTCAAGTTCTCGTTTCTTCTTCCTTTTGCTTCTGCTAGAGCATCTAATACCTTAGCGTTTACCTGGGTATAGGGTATTTCACTGTCGGGCTTGATCGACTGTAGCGTTCTATCTTGTTTAATATTAATCTCTAAGCACTTATAGAAAGCAATATTCCAAAATTTCGATTACTTGCGCCAAAGGTTACTTCCCTCCGAAAATTGTATAGTAATATTTTTTATAAAACACTAAACTAATCTAAGTATAAACAGGATAAAAAATGTACTTGTGTATTGGTTATTTGTTATTTAGACTTGGGGGTAACCGTTGTGAGACACAAATGAGATCTGCTTGATATTTTACGAATATTTTAAGCTCTATAGTAAGACTTGTATGTATTTTCATTTTTGTAATTCAAGACCTTAGGCACATTAACTGACAACAGAAATGGTATCCCATTATAAAATTTAAATCAATTTATTTTATTCAAACCAATGGGCCTACAGCATTGACGAAGAATTTTTTATTAAGTACACGGTATGACTGACTACGGTATTATTATGAATAAGCATATTCTCTCTCTGGTAGAAACCAGCAACAACTAGTTCTGAGCCACACTTTATCTCTTGTTTGTCGATTGACGGTCTTTTTTAAAATTATTTTTCTTCAGTGTAGGAGTTTTCTTCGTTTATTTGTCATTTCATAAATATAGAAATAATCAGCTTCTTAATATTATTTTGCAAAAACCAACAGGGAGTCCAAACAGACTTTGATAAGCCATGTCCGACCAGCTATATGATTGTGTATGCTATGTGGCTTATTATATAAGTTGTATTTTTTTTTCCAATTTTTCTATTTTATTTTCAACTATTTGTGGACTGTGTAAAATTCCATTGCTGATTAATTAACACCCACGTACCTGAGTCAAATTCATTTATTTATTAAGGTGGGTTACGTAATGAATAGAATGTTTTCAAACGGTTTTAGAAAATATTTGTAATATTCTGAAAAGCTAATATAAAACATTCTGCAGACGAATTTAGAATTCCGTTTCTGGTTAGTTTTTAATTCTACATTTTGCTTGGCAGAAACCAGCCGCAACTAGTTCTGAGCCAGGCTTTATCTCTTTTTGGTGAATTTATTCGAACTTTCCAGAAATTTGTTCTTAACTGTGAACGTTTTCATATCAAAACGTCTGTTTAAATAAAAGTTAGAAGCAAAGGTTTGAACGATTTAATGTGTGGTCAGACTAGCAAATAATTTTCGGACAAAGCTGTTACATTTTTTAGATATATCTATCTACGTACAAAAACAATAACAATATATACTATACAAGAATAAATTTTCTTTTATATTTACTTTTAAGTTTTGAATTAACAAATTGTACGTTTTTTTGTGCAAACTTTTCGCCGTCTGAACATAATCCCTTTCAGATAATATCTTTAAATATAGTGTATTTCGAAACTAATATCACACAAGACTTTGTGTGCATCCCTCTCCAACCCTTTTCTTTTGAGTTCACTGTAACTCCCCACTTGCTTCACACCATCATTACTCGGAATCTAACTCGAACTAAAACTCCGCCCACTCACCTCATTCACAATTGGCACAGGTCCAGCTTGGGCCCAGGCAAGTAATGCAATGCACAGTAAGGAAATGACAGCAAAAAAGTTTGGCCACATTTTTTTTGTTTTGTTTGAAATTTAAAATTAAATTTCTTTGTACTGCGCTTTTAAATGGCACTTCAGCGCACTGAAATGCTCTCCAAATTTTTGGCAATTTGTTTTTTATTTGCGTACGTTGCGCGTAATAAATTAATAAGAATTTTACACTTTATTGCCACAGTACAATAATATTTCTTTTGTTATTGTGCCCTGAACTTTACTTTTTTGTGCTTGCGATTTCCGTAAACTTTTTGCGGCTCGTGCTTCCGTCTTCTCCGTTATTATTTTTATTTACAGTAAGTAGTGTTGTTTGTGCAAAGTACAACGGGAAAATGTTGCCTGTCGTTGGCGCTCGTTGCATTTTATACGCCACATCGCTGGGGCTCGTCTTCCAGCACTTCGGCTTATTGGGGCTTGAGTGTGTGCGTCTGTGTGGCGCTCTCATAATTCTAATTAGTGAACGACCGACGAGTTGTTCGTAAATTTGGTTTGTTATTGTAGCGGCATTTGGCTGGCGGTCTTGCTCTGTGTTTAAGTCATGGTAAGTTAAGATAAGCCATACCTTATCTTAACTTACCATTAAAGACTGCAACGAATTGCACAGCTACTTCATAATATACGCTTACGTTTTCTGTTCTAAGGAAAATTAATATTGCTCGATCGGCTGCTTAACTTGATAACTCCAATTTGTAAACACTTTGGAACTTTGATTGCGGCTGTCTTCTGTTAAATAAAATAATGTTGAACGATTGCAAAGTCTGCCTACACCAAATAGAAACATTATTAAGTTTAACTGCACTAAAAACTCACAATGCAATATTTATGAAATGCTACAAAACATATTATGACGTCACACACCGCATAACGGACCTGTGCAATGCCATACCTTCGTGCTTCTTTGCACCATGTGCCTCAGTCGTTGTCGTCTATTGTGAATGCATTTCTGCTCTGCAGCGTGCAAGTCAGCTTGCACTGCAAACGCCCACTCGCGGGTGTGCTGTCCTCTCTTTCTCTCTGTAATGTTCAGCTGTGCTCTCTCTGTTTAGCTTTTGTTGTTCAATTATTGTTTATGCGTGTCGCGCTCCCTTGTTATTGTTGTTGCGTGCCTTCTGCTTCTTTCATTTTGGCATATTTACGACGATTATGCTGGTCAACGTTTGTTATGCCATTTTATGATCTGCCGTTCCGTTGTTGTTGTTGTGTAATTTGCTAAAGCGGGTCAGTGGGCATACATATGTATGTATATATGTATGTACATAAGTATTATTTTTATACAAATGTAATTTTCCCGCCAACGTTCAATTACTCTAATAACACTAGCCACACAAACTTAAAAACAATAAAACATACATACATACATAGTAAGTAACCAGTGATTAAAACGCAGGATGTTTCCTGTTGAGATTCAAAAGTTTTTTAATTTTATGAACAATTTTTCATTTAATTATTTAAAATATTGCTAGCGCATGTTTGAAATCTCTCGAAATGAGCCGAAAGTATTTTTTATTTTACTCTTTTTATGATTTCTCATAAGTTTCGTGGATAATGTTTCTGGTACTTTGGATTTTGATTTTTCTGCTGTTTAGTGTAATTCGACTATATTATTTTTTACCGCTGTTTTTCCATTTGCTTTTTTCATTCGTCGCTGCTAATTTTCCTTAGTTCGTCAGCAGTTTTTTGCGAGTTCAAAGCTGTTTTAGTTGGTTTCGACAAGTTGTTGTTTTGTGCACTCTCTGCCCAAATGTTAGCCGATGATTCATTCCTCATGTTGCGAATGGGATTGAAATGCAGTTCGTGGGAAAAAACAAAGGCACGCATCCGTAAATCAATATTTGTTTTGGCAAGTGAGCAATCAACACAATTGTCTTGTCTCGCATTGTAATTGTTTGCTAATCCGAGCAATTGAAATCGAACTTCAAAATGCCAACAATCCAGTAAACGGCGCACGTTCCATTCACCACGAAGGTTAGCATTAACTTGACTTTTAAAAGTTTATTAATTCGCACCGAAAAAGCAACGCAATGACAAACACAAAATCCAAAAACTGACAAAAATAAAGCAATCACATGATTAACAATGTCACGTCGCGTGTCACACACAAAATTGCTGAACTTGAACCGCAATCTGAGGCGCCCAAACAATAAACAACTGACCAGCAAAGACTGTTGCGAAGGTGTCTGTTTGCTGGGGATTGGGATCGTAGTTAGGATTTCATAATAGCGAACATTCAGTTTTGATTATTTGTAACAAAATTAACCTACATTCGAAATTTACAGCGACGAATACTTTTAGTATTAGTGATAATTTTGTGTAACTCACATTTTTTAGAGTTCTGTTCTACAATTTCTTTGAATATATATATATATATATATATATATATATATATATATATATATATATATATATATATATATATATATATATATATTCAATTGATTGACCGTTCCGCCGTTCACGAATGTCGCAGGTCATTTCGAGGCTTCGATGTTGACAGCTAACTATGAGGAGTCCTGCTCCAGGTGCGCTCCCAAAATGTATAGGAATGGAATGCTGAGTGCTTGCACCTGAAAAAAAGAATGTTTGCTCCTGCAAGTCCAAAATATAAAGTACTCGTGGTGCACCTGTACGAGTAATTGCATTGAATCTATCAATAACTACTCGCTTCTGCACTTTTGAGGTACTTCTTAAATAAGTTTGCTGGTACGGGCTTAGGTCAGAAGTTCATTAGAAAATATTACCTCTGAAAGTATAACTATAGCTTCCCCATCTGGTGACGTAAATATAAATGGGATTAGCTTTAAATATATATATATATATATATATATATATATATATATATTTTTCTACCATTAGCTAATACATGATAGCTATTTCTGAAGCCTGATCATCGTGCTTTACTTATCAGTTTTATAATCCCTTAGAATAACATACATATGTAGTCCTCCAGTATTCCCTCATCACCATCTAAAGCACACACGAATCAATTGTGAATTATAAAGCTGATTAGTGTAGATACTAGCCTTATACTAAATATAGTCGATTAGGTGTTTTTGTTTTCGAAAATTAAGGTCACGCGTTCAACTTAGAATTGTTATTGTTTTGTCTAATTTCTGTGAGCTTAAAGGTCGTTTTTATACTTTGAACTCGAAGGCTAAAAAGGGGATACATATTGGGTTCGTATAAATGTATGCAACAGGCAGAGTAGAGCATCTACGATCCCCGTCCGTCCGTCTGAATGAACGCTTGGATTTCGGAAACAGGTAATGTCGCATTGACCAAACTTGGTATGCGGTCTGTTCTAGTATCTAGGCAACACGAGTTTATTAAAGTTGTTCTATTTTCTGTACCATTCATTATCTTATCTTATATTTCCTTTATATACTTGTATATACAATTTAAAAGTAGCTTGCTTCAATTGAACACTTTATGGCTTAGTTTGTTAAATATATATTGTTTCTTTACTGCGATGGCTCTACGAAACACGCCTATCCTAAAGTATACCATATATGTAAATATCTCCGGCGACTATAATCCAGCGCAGCTTGGACCCATTAACTTAAACTTTACATAAATGTGAAAGGTTGCTAGGACCACTAAATCTACTTCAGATTTATTTGTAATCAGCAATCTGGAAAGCTTAGATTTCAAGCAGTTCAATCACTTTAAGCAGTTAACGTTCTATTTAAAAGAAATATAAAAGTCAACTAAATGCATGAATTTAAATCCGTTTCTAGAAAACAGATAAAACGCATCTTAAGATTGCATTGAGGAGCATTCTTATGAGAACCTTCAAATAAAATTGGTAGAAAAGTATTTCAATTTAAATAACTTTAAGATTTGATTTCAGATAAGAAAAACCTTTCTTTTTCTCAAAGTCACATTTGCTAAACCAAGTATTTAATGTGACACTTATGTTTCGTTTCAGTTAATCAATTTGTCCGCCCACACGATGCCCGCCATGAGTCTTATCTGCGGCCAGTTCATCAAATCGCTGCTGACACCTGCGGAAACGACGTCGCGGCACAACAGCCTCATGGGACAGGGGCAGGGGCAGCGGGGGCAGTATCTGAGCAATGGCACTGTAAACGGCAATGGATTGCCACACGAGGGCAGCGATGTGGATGACGACTTGGAGGCCGATGATGAGGTGAAGGCCATGGCAAAGAGTTTGAAGGCGCGAAAAACTTTGCTGGCGCAGAACTCGACACCAGTTGGCCTCAGCAGTCAGGAAGCAGAACTCGCATTGGAGGCAAAGCTTCAGCGCATAAGATCGTTGGATATAAGCCTGGAACTATAAACCTGGACAGAAGAAATAAGTCGTTTGAAGATTCAAAGAACACACCCCTACCTAGACATACATACATACTTGTAGATACTAATTTTATACAAAGCCCTTGAAATCGAAGAGTTTTTGAGCCCATCATAAAACATTACGACGATTTTCCGCATTGTATAAACGTTGTAATAATTGTTGTTGTAGCTTATAACAAATTGTATGTTTTTCTAAGGACAAAGACAGCAATAACGTTTGGGACTTTCACAAAATACAGAATATAATAATATTTTAAAGCCCTATATTGAACTTTATGTAAAATATACATGCAGTTATTTTTATACAAACATATGCAATGAACACAAAAGTATCTATAAATGTATAGCGGACTTATTAACACAAATCCCTCGCAGCATTATTTCTATAAGGGGCCATAATTTGATTGTCTTCCCTTATACCGAGTTCCATATACTTGTATGTGAACAGTATAGAGATATAGAGTTATTATTCTTTAGATTGATCCCTTGTTCGACATAGCAGATATACAATCTGGAGGAAAAGTGTGCTATGCTGCCGGCTTTGGACTGCAGTGAGGACTGCGCAGTTCTTACCAACTAAACATTCTTGGATGCCCAAAGATAAAGAAAACAAAAATTTAATTAATGTAAAGCTATTCTTTTTTCTCTTGGGTGAAGTTTTATTCATTGAAAGGATTTATTATTATAGTTTTAAACTATAAAGGATACAAATTCGGCAATCCTGCACTTCTCGCCAGACAATCGTATAAGAATCGTTGCTTCGAAAAGCGCTGAGAAGCTATGGCATATACATAAGTAACAGATTTCGGCATGTGCTTAAGATTCGAGACACAGATAAGATCTTTAGCTTATAATGATCGGAAGCGTTGTAGTCTCTTCGGAAATACATATGAGAACCCAGAGCGAAACGCTCTTGAAACATCATTGAGAGTCACTGATCATTTAACTGTAATCAGTTGCAGATTTTATTTTTTTGAATCGGTGCTATTAGTGCCTACTAGGGAATTATCTGCTGTTTACCATTTATGGACATTGCATGATCTTAACACGGACTTGCAAAACTAAGTTTGTTGGCCTTAGCTTGCATACATTCGCAGATTCTTACGTTCATACAGTCAAACACAGATAGGCAGGCTATAAAGTTAACTCCACTTTCTTTATCCTAATGCTAATGACTGCAATTTTATTCACACAGAAATTTTAAAAATACATCTATACATGTTTTTAAGAAGAATATGGTTAACATTTAGGCGAATCGGCTAAAAGAAACGTCGGCGCGGTATGAGGCCCGCATGCGAGAGTACATTATAGATCTCCATGCGTGGTATTTTCTCGGCCTGACGATCGTAGACCTACGAGAGAAGAGACAACATAAAAAGCTAGCAACAACGTGGAAGCCAAACAACTCACCACCTCCTCGCCGGGACCAAACCAACTAGACTTGGCCAACAGCTCACGCACGCGTGGTGTCTTGTAGAAGGGGTTTTGGAAGTGTTGGGGCAACGATTGCTCCCAGGCATCGTTCTCTATGACGGCGATGTGCTGAAGATTGCGTTGCGGCTGCGGTCGAGCGCTGACCAATGTGCCGGCCATGAAGAGCAGCAGCAGAGCAAGACATGGTTGTGCAAAGCGTTGGGGCTGGCACCTTAAAGAGATTAGGGTTTTTTTTTAGCGATTTATTAGATTCGGAATACAAGTAGATAAGAAAAGACTCCCGAAAACTTACGCATCGGTGCGTGCACGGGTGTCTTAAAATATTGTTATGATTAACATTACATAATTGCTGTGCCGGCGTCGATGTGTGGTGCATATGGTATTACAAGTTTCCGCCTGTCACGCGCAGATACACTCTCTCCCCCTCCCCCTCGTCCACTATCTTTCTCCATCTCTTTCCCTCAGACATGCGTGTACATATACATATACGCAAGTGGCCCCCTTTAATGCCCCACTTGCAGCCGACGCCTAAATGACCGCTTTTCACTGTCTGCAACGCAACCACCAACTGCCTAACTAGTTAACCAAGTCAGCTGACTGCAACTGCCACAGCAACCACATACTATAAGTGCGTAGCAATAGTTGTTATTGTTGCCAAGTAGCCAGCGCCAATCATTTCCTATATGTCGCGTGCGCCTCCACTGTACTGCTCTCAACCTAGAGGTGGGAGTCTTCAACACGACAAACATTTAGGATTTGGGGCTCCCATGCTTGTTAAACGGCATTATGCATTTTAATTAAAATAATAAGGAATGGAAGTAAGCCAGGGATACAAAATTGTTACGTTCCTAACATCTATAATAATTTATCATTTATAATTACTATTGTTTAGTTTTTCATCATATTAAAAAAAATTTGCGCTGTTACAAGACTGCTGGATTTCAATAAATTGAAATGTTTCTGAAAAATTATGTATTAAGACATGGCACAATACAACACAATATATTGTAGGATATTCAAGCAGCGCTTCAGGCTCTTGAATCTAAGAAATATCTGAATATCAACTCTGGTTGCCGTAAATGTCTGCTATGGGTACCGGGGTATAAGCTGGTCAGGGAGGATACTTCCTCACACATCACCCCTGACAAGGACTAATTTGAGTGTTCGAGCAAGGGTGTTGGTAGCTGGACTTAACATTTCCTTCAATGATTTATGCAAAAGCTGTAAAGACCACGAGGAGAGGGAAAGCGTTGAGCGCCTTCTCTGTTATTCTTCACCACTCATTTGTCTAGGACAACATGTTCTAGATGATGTCACAGATTGCGTAACTAGCTTAATTCATAAGTGCCAATCGAACCTAATCTATTTCACTATATTTTTTAATGCAAAATAGCGTAACAAATAAAAAAAAAAGCAATTAAGGGATATTACTTATAATTTAATACTGTCTTTTAATTGAAAATATTTTTTAAATCGATCAAACCTTCGCTGAATTTAATTGAATGGATGTTGTGGAAATGTGACTGTTGTTTTATGGCAAACAGGATAGTTGCAAATTTCGACTTTTAATGAAAATTCTACTAAATGTACAAATAATATTCCAGACAAATGTATATTGTGCCACTTTTTATTGCGTTTCTACCATATAAGTATATAAAACAAGAAAATAATGCTAAAGTCGAGCAAGCTCAACTCTTAAATATCCTGTACCTCCAACAAAAAAGGGGGAAAAAAAATTTAAATAATTAAAAAAAAGAATATTAATTAAATTATTTAATTAAATTAAAGACATGTTCATGTACAGTTTCAACAGCATACATTTACATCAGAATCGTGTCTCTGCGTATTTATATGCGTGTATGTATGCAGCACAAAGTTGAACCCAAGCAGCAGCAACAACAACAGCTGCGGGCAGCGGTACAAGCAGAGCATGGGCAGCGATTTTATTTATGGCTATAACTTTCTTTAGAATTGACCTATCATGATGAAACTTGGTATACAGACACATAATCACTAACGGGATGTAGGTACCTAATTTTAGTTCGAAATTCCAAGAACTACGGGTTATGGAAAAAAACATGAATTGCGGGGGAGTGGGGGGTGTATCAGAATAAAAAAATAAACTTGACATGCCTAGGGCTTATGGGAATTTGGATACCGAGTTTGGTAATTCTAGCTCTAGTACCTTCTGAGATCCTTGCGCTCATACAGACGGACGCACGGACAGACGGACATGGTTATATCGACTCGGCTTGTCATGCTGATCAATAATATATATACTTTGTGGGGTCTGCCACGCCTCCTTCTCCCTGTAACATACATTCGCACAAAACTAGTATAGCCTTTCACCCTTTGGGTCAGGCTATAAATATATAAGTTATAATTACGTGACTATTATTTTATGGCAAAAAGTACAATTGAAAATATATTACAAATTTCAGACAATGTTCTACTAAATATACAAAAATGTACATTGTGCCACTTTTTATTGCATTTCTACCATATACATAAGTATACAAAAATGTATAAGTTATAATTGTGTGACTACTATTGAACATTTATTGAAAATTGCAGACAAATTACTCGTAGATTGGGCCACTTTTTATGGTAGTTCTATATACATATATATATATATACTACTGTTTTCTTTTCGATTTAAAAAGCATTCATTATCACTGTAAGCCATATCTAGACATTTCAGGTTAATGTTCGTGCGTGTTGTGCCGTAAAAGCCCATCTCTATGCTGCACTCCACGCACCACATTCGCTTTCAACGAACGCTGCATGAGAAATGCTAAGATCCCTGATCTTTGCTTTTAATTGGAAAAGCAACCGCAGACAGAGATATCGCGACTGCAGCAGCGCCAGAAAGACTACTGATGAAGTGGCTGGCTTGGTGTGATGTAAGCTTTGGACTTGATATTGCCACTTGTCGAGCTTGCGGCATTTGCCCCTTTTTGCCAAATCATGCAACCTGCATTGCTGATGTACTACATACAAACATATATGTAAGTGTGTCTCTCGGCAAGATATGGATCGCCATCGCACATACTCGACTGATTTTAGATAAGATGACGAAGTGAAATAAGCGGATGGTATACTAATTAGATAAACTCGTTAGTAGTAAGTATGTGAGCTGCATTTCAAATTAAATGCTGCAGATAGCTTTGCAGGAAATCACAACAAGTGTTATTTGGGAAAATCCTTTGTAAAGGAGGCAAAAGCAGCAGCCGTCTCTAATCTATTTAGCCTTCATTGCATGTTCTCTAGACTTTCTTAGATGTGATCTTTTATTTGATAATTCTCTGGGAGGTAGGTCAGAGCTACTGGATCTAATTGCAGCTTCATAGTTTATTATTCCCTAGATATTCTCCAGAAAGCACTTCTTTCCTCTTTCTTACTTGTATTTCAATAAAGCGATTACTTCTTAAACTCTGGATTCAAGAAATTCCCATTGCTATAAAAAGCCATCAGCTGACTTAAGTTGTTGCTATTGCAGTTGCTGTCGCTAATATGCCATCCCATGGACGTCTCGATGTCTGCGTTGCATTTTTCACTTTCGAGCGACCGTCTTATGCAATTCTTCTGCCTTTTTGCGCATGCGCTCGACTCCCGACGCGTTGCTGTCCGGCGAGGTGCGGTGCGGCACCCCCAACGAGCCGGTTTTCAAGCTTATTTGTATGCCAAGCAATTGTTGCTGTCGTGGTACTTGCTGTTGTTGTTGTTGTTGTTATAGTGCGAGTAGCTGCTACTTACAACAGCGCTGGGCTTGTTGTTGTTTTTGATTGGGTCAATGGAATCCAATTGGCTGCAGTTTCGCTTTCCTTGCAAAGTCGCCAGCATTCCAGATTTGGGTCACGATGGTTAATTGAAGAAGATTGAAGTATTGTTGTTAATGTGATACAATTGTAATTCAATAATAAATTACATTTGCCCAATGCCCAATTTCCATGCAACAAGGAAATGTACAGCTGATCTCCGGGTGAAAGGCTGTGCGGGGAGTTCCCCAAGTTCCGCCGAACCTTGATCGCAAAGATGAGACAAATGTGGGCACTTAGCCCTGGTAATGATGCGCATTTAAGCGAACCAACCCAACAACTGACACACTTGTACGAGTATATGCCACTTGTGTCGGATATACATATATACTTGTATATGTACATTTATATGAGAGTGAAGTGATCGTAAAATTGTGTGCAAGTGTTAAGCCTTTTTCTTTCACGATTTCAAGGTTGTTCGGCGTATTTGCAAGCAATCATAAACATCGTGTAATTTGTCTTAATTTGTTGTGCATTTTTTTTTAAATTAGCCCAACTACTTAGTAGGCGTTTCCTCTTTATAAGTACGTGTTTACAGGGAAGCTGCACGATTAAACTAAAATTGCAGATAGCTTGAAAAAAGGGGATCAATTCTGTGCCAAATGCTGTGCCTACTCTGAAGTTTAAATTTCTATTGTTCTGGTACTTGTTGCGAGTAAATGGAAGAAAATAAAAAACAGGAAAAACATACTTTGGATTTTTTTAAAAAATATTTTCATATAAATAGGTGTATATGTTTAAAGACGCTTTTTGTAAAAGTGACTTGAATTGCGCTTCAGATCTTAAACGTAAAAGCCAAAAATTATAATAATAATAAAGTGAGAATAAATAATTAGCGAACAGATTTTTGTGTTTTCAACATTTATGTACATATATCGCCAAAGTATTTGGAGCCTGGAGTGAACTCTTAAGCTGATTAACTGATGGATTGTTTTTGTAATCAGATGTATCTAAGATGTAGAACGTGCCATTGCGACTGGTTCATCTAATCAGCTCGTTTCGTATCACAACACTCAGCTAGGGTTTGCGAGAAGGCCTATATATCTTTTGATAAAGCATTAAGTCCTCGAATTAAAAATGTGCAATAAGTTTAGTTCGAACTTGTGGTGTTTCTGGCAGTCAAATAAAAACTGCTGGCAGGCTATGCTACAAGTCTGTCTTAAGGGCTTGTGAGAAAAAATGGAAAATGGGAAGGCCCTCAGATCGCAATACAGTACCATACTTTTGTTGAAGTAAGTCTTAAATAATAATAACAAAAGCTTGATAAAAGAACTGACTGTTGGGTAGAAAACTAATTAACTAAAAAACAAGCTTTTAATATACGAGTGTACCCTCAAACCAGTCTGGCCATCTGACATCTACATACCTTTGGGGCAAAGATTCTGCAAAGACCAAACACCATCTTCAAAGCTCTTCCGTTTATCACGAATGAGAACATAGATCAGGAAATTGGTGTTCCTAACATCATGGAGGATATAGTAAGACTCAGCACCGGTTACAAGTGGATCTCTGACCACCCTTGGCCATTATATCTTCTAGATAACAGTACCACCATTAGAAGACTATTATGTATCTATAATTCTATATATTTATTAACAAAAAATCCATCATTGTATTGAGATAAATTTCTGGAAATAACACATAATTTCTAAATTTAGTAGACAATGAAAAGCTAAAAACTTCTCAAATTTCACATAAAAAATAAATCGTCAAGGTATTGTTATAAGGGGCAGATTTTAAATAAATAAAATAATTTTATAAATTACATAAATTTATATATGAATAATTTTTTTATAAACAGTTGCCATCATATTTTTGTTGGAGAAAATGTTTAAAGACAATCGACATGATTTCTTGAATTTTAATGATGTGTGAGTTGCTTTTCAAATCCTCGAAACCACGTCGTTTTTAATTTAAATCTGCATATTAATCAATTGTTGATCGGGGGGATTTTCAGGTGTTAGCCAAAGGCAAAACTCAGCACTTCACTGCCGTATTCGTGAATGGGTACTGAGCCATGATTTGGTCGCCGATTCGCAAAAATATCTTACACCCTCGAAGTCACGCAATCGCTACTGCCGCTGATAGTGATGATCAATATTTGTGGTAGTTGTTATGCGTTTTATGAGTCAGGCTATATCTTTTTATATTTTATATTTTGTATGACACTTGCCACCGGTATTTGTTTATGTTAATTACTTTCAGCTCATGCCTGCATTTGGCTTTTTGTGCAATTGTTCGTGTCTTCAACGACAACGACAACGACTCTTAATTGAAAAAGTGTTCGCGCGACAACAAAACCGCATAATAGACATACATACATATGTATATTGCATTATTATTTTCCCTAATTTATTGTTGTTGTTGCCTATGTATATTACAAGTATTTCTATTTTCCTTCTTTTTTCGTTGCTGTTGATTTTTTGGGCATTTTTGCGCATTTGTTAACAAAACGTGACCGTTAAATTGAATTACCTATGCTGTGTGCCTTGCATTTGTCTATGTTTATGGTTTGGGTTTTGTTGGCCCCCTTTGTTGTTGTTGTTGTTGTTATTGTTATTGCTGTGATAGGTCAAATAGTTTATGGGCTTTTGAGTTACTGTCAACGCTTGACGCGTTTGTTGGTGTTGCTTGGGCGGCATTTGGAATTTTTATTAAACGTTGCCAATATTTTGACACACATACTTTGTGGCTTTGTGGATCGCATAAAAATGGGGAGTATTATGCAAGTATTATAACGACTAATTAGCGGAAGGTTAGCAAGAAACAGAGTTTAACAAAGGTGAGATTGGACCTTAACGAGGGATCGGTTAAGGTATTTCTTTTTGCTTAAAAAAGTCGTAGAGAACTTTTCTTTATGGCTTCTGCACCTATCTTTCATATGGCAGCTATTTGATATCGTGCACCGATTTTGTGGAAATCATGAGGCACTATGAAGCCTACGCAATTTTCTCAAGATATGTTTATGAACAAAAATGTAATTCTATTAAGATTTGCAGCTATATAAAATGAAGGCGCTATACTTGTATGTATATGGTTTGTAAAAAAACTTGTTATGCGTCATTATCATATAGTTTAAACTGACTGTAAGAAATAGGACTTTTCAATGTTTGCCACTGGTATGAAAAACAACTTTCTCAAATATCATAACAAATTGTATTATATTCAGTATTATTTTTGAACCTTTCAATGTCTTTAAGTATTTAATTTTACATGATTGTTGGATACATTTAATGTTTAGAGAATTTGTCAATTGTTTGCAATCAAAGAAGTTCAAAAAGTGTAAATGTGATTTGTAAGTTTCTTAGAAAATTTAAAAGCATTGAACAATTTTGCTATTTTCGTTTCTTTTCATGCCGAAAAATTAAATTTGAAAACTTCAATTCAAGAAATTCCAAAAAATAAAATAAACTCGGACATAGGAGAAAGTTGGTATCCAAACTTTGGTTATTATAGTTTTAATAGTTTCTGAGATCCTTGCGTTCATCCAGATAGACAGATAGACGGACGGACATGTCTAGATCGATTTCTCGTCATGCTGATTCAGAATATACTATATATACTTTATGGGGTCGGAGATGCTTTCTTCTGCATGTTACATACTTTGCACAAACCTAATATGCCCTTTTTACCCTACGGGTACAGGGCATAAAAAGTAATTAATAATAAGCAAATTAATTGAAAACTGTTGAAAGCCACGTAAATGTACGTGTACGTTTAAAAAAGTTTTCTCAATCGCAGTAGAGATTGAGGAAAGCTTCGGAAAGCTATAAAATAATATGCATGCATCGAGGCATAATAAAAGGAATTTTATCACTTAATGGTTTCATATCAATATATAAAATATGAATGAGAATACATCAGGAGAACATTTGATTTTCTTTAAATAGGTGCTTTGTTAAGTTAAAACTTTGTTTAAATATTTAAATTAAATAAAACAGTTTTGGGAAAGTTAATAAATGTTTTCTTCATTTTATTTCTATTTGATTTTGATAAACAGGATGGTTTGATTGCATTTGTTTTGCAAGCAATATTTTACTAATGGTCCCCAAATATGATGTGTTGGTTTCATCAACTTTATATTTTAATCACTTTTGTGTTTGCACAGCACGAGTCACACGACCAGCAAACCCATCTAACAAGCATTTATAAGTAATGCATAATATTTTGCATAAAAATTTGTACAACTATTGATTGAAGCGCGAAACTCACATTTTATTTGTTTGCAAAATATATATTGTTTTAATAATTATTTGTTACACTTTTCAAATTTTCGCATCCGTTTCGATTGAAAAGCAGTTAAGAGCTCTGTTTCAATGCCGCATTGCCAACTTGGGCTTGTTGTGTGTGCGAACGCGGCCAATTGGCAACTGAAATGCTGACAGTCGGCCAACAGCTAACAGACCTGGACATGGGAGCAGCTTGAAAGTTTTTGGACAGCGCTTGAAACTCAACGAAGCGCAAAAGCTAAGCCGAGCTTAGCTCAAGAGCGCAGCAAGTGAAAGAGCAGCGATTCGATAATATATAATTGCTTAAGTTTATTAACAAATAACAAATAGTTTGGACACAGTTCAGTTCATATCGCATTGTTGTCGAGCACAAAGTTATCCACAAGGTCCTCGAGCATGTCCTGCATGCGCGATCTGTATAATTCGTCGGTGTTGTATGCCTCCATGCATATCTCGATGCGTTTGCGGCTGAAGAAATCGCTGAAACCGTCGGCATTGCTCGTCAATTTTTGGGTACAGCTTGGCGGCAAAATCACCAGATGGCAGAAGAGGCAGCTCTCAATGAGGCCAGTAATGCGATAGTGCTCGATGGAGGCATAATATTGCTGCTCGGAGATATAGTCAGCGAGTTGGAGTCCAGCTCGCCTCATAAACTCGGACATGAAGCGATAATATTCGGCCAAGAGTTCCTTCATATGCTGCTCCCGGAACTCCCGACTTGTGGGTATGGTCAGTATGGTTAGAACGTCCATCGCTGGCGGTGCATAGCGCGCCAACTGAAAGTCCACAAGGACGCATTGCAATGGCGTTTCGCCATATTTTCCATATTGGAACATTACGTTATTCGCCCAAAGGTCGCCATGCAGCAATGTGTTCTGAAACTGTTTGGAGGGCTTGACGAGCTCGAAAATACGCGACATGCGTTCTGTGAAGTTCAGCAAAATATAATCCAGCTTAGCCGCATATTTGGGCATCGTTTTGATAATCTCCTTCAGCACCAGGCAAGCATTTTGAAAGTTGACCAAACGCAAATGTTCGGGGGGCACATCACTCGGATAGGCGTTCTCCACCACACAGCTGGGTTGGCTTACATTAATGGGCTGCTGGGTGCGTACTTCGTGTATAATGGAGCCCGCATGCATGGCCGCCAATGTTTTGAGACAACAATGCAGTTGTTCGTAGTTCAGCAGACCATCTCGAGTGGCGCCCATGCGGTATCCCTGATCCGCGAGGTTCTCAAAGACCAGCAGATTGTTGTTTGCGTAAAAGGATTTGGGTGCCACGGGTGCGCAGGCAGCTTGTATCGCAGGCAGCAAATGTTTATATACAGAGATTTCCTTTTCGAAAACCCCAAAATCCTCAAGATAGTCCATGTGTGAGGGATTCCCCTGGGGTGCTGCCTTGCTGAAGAAACGCAAGTGTTTCAGTTCTTTGCCATCGTGCAAACGCAACGTCACATTCAGAAACGAGTGACTGCCCAAATATCCTGCGGGCGCATCCGATGTCGGTTTTAGCTTATAGCTGACTATTTCAAATGCCGAGCTCGGCTCCTGCTCATACAGATATCGCTGGCACAGACTCTGCACCACGCTATTGCTCAGTTCTACTACCGCTGCCATCTCGAATGCAACTGGTTCGCTGCCTCCGGATCCGGCTTGCCTTTTATAGGCCCAACCCAATATTTACTTGGGGACTACAGACGAGTATACTTTGCTAAATTGTTGCAGATAAGCGCTACTGACGCGCACCGACCTCAACTCCTAAGCCGTGGGTCATAACAGTGAAGCGGTCTTATATTCCGGCAGGTTATTACTTAGGATTTGCTTTGAATTATTCCCAGAGTTTAACGACCTATTATTAGCTTTAGAAAGGGCTAGACGATTGTAATCTAATTCTACAATGCAGCGAAACTTAAATGCTCTTAATTATTGTGAATATTATCGCAACTTGCTGACTTTATCTCCGAGCAGCAAGATAAATAATATTTAAAGATATTTGAACATGATTTCCAATACACAACATATTTTCGATATCGATAGAGCTGTTAGTCATTAGTTGCTGATATCGATATTTATCAAAATCAACCTATAGAGCATGTTGCCATTAAAATTCCATGCTAATAGGTTATACTATATGATGTTAGTTGAATAATAATAATTCGAAAGTTGATGAATTTTTAATTGGGGGTCGACTATGTTTTAATGGCCTTACTTTTAGTGAGTTTAGGGCAGGTATATTTAAAAGTAATATTTATTAATTATATCGTAGGTTCAGCTATTAAGCCATAATATTGTTATTATTATATTAATCATATACAATAGCTCGATGTTCACAGTCGAAATAGTAAAAACGATGATCAGCCACATATATTTTAGGGTGGCATTGGTAGTAGATCGATAAAAATGTACTGCATTTATAATCCATATACTGTACAACTATTAATCAGTGGTTGATTAGGTATACTTGTAGGTAATATTATTGAGATTTAATAACATCAGAAGTCGATATTATCTTTTCAAGCAGCCATTATAGTTGATAAATACGTACAAGCTTCTATTTGAAATAAGCAGACGATATAAAGCAATCGATATATAATATCTAATAGTATTAATACTGGAAAATTTCTTCAGTTAAAGGTTTCTTTATATAGTCGTATCTATCTAAGCTTAGAGACATGTTTCATGGATGATAAATATAGAGCTCCAATACAATACCTCAATAGAGAAACTAATAGTATTAAAGATTCTTAAACTTATTCAAGTGAGTTCTTTGCCGGTTCTCTTAAATCTTTCTCAAAAATTCAGCATTCATTATCCGATAGTTTTGAATGGTCTGCTTTCAGATCTTTTAAACAAAAACGAGTTCTTTTTTCCAAACGTAGAAGCTATGTTTGATTATTAGGTTTTCACAAATCCTTCTTAACTTACTTGAAGGGTATATTTTCAATAGACATTCGTAATGAAAATTGAAATAAAACTCTTTTTCGTATTAGGCATAAAGTAGATAAAAAAATATATATAAATAATATAATTGACATGGCGGATAGCACGCATTCAATATTTAAATCTATATTTATTGCAATATAACACTGGATTAACCCAATAGTAGTTACCAGAGCTTTGGATGCATTATTTGGTCAGATATGCATCTGAAATGCTTCCTACTTATAGGAATATGCGCATCAAAAGTGTAATAGAAAGTATTACGCCGGGGCTTGCGCGTTGCCATGCATCCATTCATGTACAATAGAAAGATTAAATTTTTACTCAGGCACTTACGTAGATAAATATTGCTTTTGTATATATATGCTGAAGGATTTACGTTGCCTAATAAAGCGTTGAGACGCGTGGTTATCATATGAGAAAAAAATTAACAATGGAGTTATAAATTTTGGCGCCGCGCAAATACCATATAACCGAATCCCCCAAGCATGATGTCAAAACATTATTGTGCTGCTCGGCTATTGCATGATATTAAGGTATGGGTTAACAAATCAAGCTTGGGAAACTCAACAGCTGCAATGCTGTAATGAGATGCAATTGCCAGATATGGGCAATAGGATTCGATTGCTCATTAGTTGAACCTGATTCAGTATTAGGTTGTAGTTCGAGTCCGAAACAGCGCTATGGGTTTCCGGCACAGCATTGAGGAGTATTTGAAAAACTCAACGCTACATGGAGCGCGCTTCATAGTAGACAAGGATGCCAGCTGGATAGAGCGCATATTTTGGCTGCTTTGCCTAACTGCGTCCTGGTATGCCTCCTGGCTCTTGATAAAGGCATCGCTGGGTAAGAAAAAAGACAATCAATCTTAAGAGAGAAAGTATAGCAAAATAATGCGCATTTTCCAGCGGCCTTTGAGAACAATGCCATTAGCTTTGTGGTAGAGAGCTCCTATCGTGATTGGGACACAAATTTTCCAGCCATTATAGTGTGTGAATCAAAGAATATGGATCGGATACAGGAGGTGGCCGAACAGTGAGTTCGACCCAATTCAGTTTGCTGAGAATTGAAGGGTCCATTTTTTCAGGCTTTGGGGCTCCGACCATGACTTCACGTTGGAGGAAGTGCTCAGCGAGATTGCCTTCTTTCGCGGCGAGTCCTATCATACAGTGCACGAATGTGGTGGCGAGGAGCCCACAGGCGCTTGTTTCTACTCAAACTTCTCGTTCTATGCGCAGTTGGTGCGCAGCAGCTGCAAGGACTCTGTTCAGAACTGCATGTGGAATAATAAGCCCTTCGAGTGCTGCAAATATTTTCATCGCATGGAAACGGAACTGGGCATCTGCTATGCCATTAATTCGTTGCAAGCGGGGTGAGTCCTTTTCCATCAAATACTGTTCAGTTTGTTTTCAAGCCGATTTTGGCCATGAAAGCTGATCAGTAAATATTCCAAAAATTCCAAAGCTCCAAAGTTCTAATATTATATAGGAATTATTTACTAATGAATAGAGTTTCTTTAAATTATTATATTAAATATTTTATTTATTATATTAAATAGAACTAATATTTATTATTAATCATCCACTATTCATTTATTATATAAAGCCAAGAATGGCAACTGAAATCGCAATTAGAGTCGGAATCCCAACCAGCATAGTTTAAAGTCAAATTAAGGATCTAAGTATATGAAAACGAGCCAATCGTTTAGTTCATTATAATTATAATTCATTCAATTATGGATTCGTAGTATAATGAAATATTTATGCGTTCACAGTAAAAATAAGGGAGCCAAATTGGACATGACTTCGAATCGTTATACCGGTCCAGGTACGTTGAAAATGGAGCTGCACACAGAGGCTACGGTGAGTAGAATCCTTTGTTAAGACTAACCATAAAGAAGGCACATTCAGGTCCTAGGTGGTGCCGTATCAGGCATAGCAGAGTGTCGTCATCCTGATCATATACTTGTAGACTTTATAGAATTTTTCATCGTTTTTCCACTGAGCTGCTTCGTCGATATTAAAGTCATTCCTGTGTCTGCTCTTACAGGTGTTCATACTCGGTGTTGAGGAGGTTCCCACTTTAGTGACGCCTAAAACGGACTTCCTAGTGGTCGGCCCATACATATCCTTTGTGTAAGTTCTTTAGCATAAGCACAGTCACACGCATAGTATAATGCCATTGCAGTCGCTATATTGCCAAACGCGATATCGAGAACGACGAGGAGATCCGCCAGACAAGTGTACACCAACGTAATTGTCGTTTTGCGGATGAGAACATATTGGATGTGCACAACTATTATAGTTATAGCGCCTGCACGGTGCAGTGCCGCAAGGATCGGCAAATGACATTATGCAATTGCTCCAGCCATTTGTCGCCCAATACACCCAATTGGCAGATGTGCGATATGGATGGCCTGGAGTGCTTGAATCGCAATTATGAGGACTTGTCGGTGATTATCGCGAAGTGGTCGAGGGGCCGCAAGGGTCTGGTCTGCGATTGCTTGCCCTCCTGCACCGAAGTGGACATAACAACTGTGCATGACAGCAAGGATAACATTAACGGCCATCAGAACCCCGTATCAAAGATTGAGATCGGGCTCATTGATTTACCCACAGAGCGTTATAAGAGAAATTTGGTGCGCGGCAAATTGGATCTAGTGGGTGAGTTTGCTGTCTGCGAAGCTAATCCGTTTTATTCGATAGTCTAACCGATTCTGCCTAGCAGTATCTATTGGTGGTACTACTGGGCTATTTGTAGGTGCCAGTCTGCTGAGCTTTGTGGAGATTATTTACTACATGACCATCCGACCCTATACGACCTTCATACATGACAAGCATCAAATTCGACCACAGAGTGCGGAACCCGGCTATAATCCAATTTAAGATATATGTATATGCAGTTATCTGAGTTACATCCACAAACAATATTATCACACCTATATAAGCATAAAATTTGTCATCAGAAAACAGCTGTTGCGAATTGTTATTCACCTACAGAAAGAGCACTTTGAGCGTAAAATAAATAAAGTAAAATAGTTTCTCGAGAATCTGTACCCGGTCGACACACGACGCGCTGAGAAAATTCACTGAAAATTGAAAAGTACATGGCAAGCGGCCAACTAAAGAGCGCCACTAAATTATTACGTATACGTTACGAATTTCGGAAACAGAACAGAAAATGCTGCTATCACGTACGGAATGTATACGAATATTGGACAATTTATTGGGGCCCAGCAACGAAGAGAAACCAACACTCTTGGGCTACGAAGTGGTTGCCGAAACCAATGCCATTGGCTATCTAGGGGACTACTATCTGCTTTTACTGAGCTATGTAAGTGCAAGAGTAAATGGTCGTGTTTTTGGTTGATAACGGACGTCAATATTGATCCTAAACTCGTGTATAGCATTTTAAATGTAGAAATATTGCTTCGAGCAAAGATTAAACTTACTTAGTGTTGATGTTGCAATAACCAGAACCAATATTCTGAGACTAAACAGATTATCGATGAAGTGGAAAGCAGCGGCTTCCGGTTATTAAATACCAATATTTCTATTATTTAGTGTTCACTTTATTTACTATTTATATTTTAGAGAACATATTATTTTATATATATGTATATTTTTATTTTATTTTATATGTTATATATTTATAATGTTTATGCGGGGTTCTAAAGAGCAATTTAATGGCGAGCTGGACTTCAGCTTTCATCTTGGTTTCGATTCTTCCTAAACGTATGGCATACTTTTAGGCTGTTGGCGAAACTTCTTTCCAGCGACAAGTCTTTGTCAAAGCGCTGCCCCAGAAGAGCGCCGAACCACAAAAAGAGGCGATTTTTCGCAAAGAGGCATGGCTGTATGAGACTTTGTTGGCTGATATGCAGGCATATTGTGGGTATAATGTGAATATTAGCATAAAATATAAATTAATTGTTGGGAATTTATTCACACAGCCACCGTCAAATGGTTGGCCAACTGCTACTACACGCGTCCCGATCTTTGCGTGTTAGAGGACATCAAGCTGAATGGTTATGTTCTTGGCGATATGGAGGAACTGGACGAGACACAGATGTTGCAAACGCTGCATGCTTTGGCTGCCTTGCATGCCGGAAGTTTGATTTATGAGCACAAAAGCCATCTGAATATAGGAGATGTCTTTGGCAACCACCTGCAGGAAGTTACGGTATCTCCGGATATAGCTTGGTTTACCACAGGACTGGCTGCTGTTCTAGCCGTGCTGAAGACCCTGCCACAATATGCGACTCCTGAATATGCCAGCTTCATGGATCTTAAACTGCCTGGCATTCTCGATACGATATATGAGCAAGTCTCGACCTCAACAATGTATCGCAATGTGCTCTGCCATCGCGATGGTTGGGCGGGCAACATTTTCTTCCCATCCAAACCGAATGCACCTGCAATTCTAGTGGACTTTCAGACCTGCCGATACTGTCCCCCTGCCATCGACCTGAGCTTCAGCCTGTATATGAATCTGACGAGTTCTGAGCGCAGGCATCTCGAAAGTAGTTGCATCGATTTCTATTACGATTGCTTGACCGCCGATTTGAATCATTATGGTTTGGATGCGACGATGATGCTACCAAAGGCGGAGCTCTTGCAATCCTATGAAGAGTTCCGTCTATTTGCCGCTGTCTACCGTGCCGTGGCAGCTACCATCATTAAGGTGCCTTTGGCATATATAACTAATGAGTATAAGTATGTGGACCGCAGCTCGGCGATTCTAAGCTATATGCAGGATAACGAGCAGTTTGGCGCTTGTATGCGCGAATATTGTGGCGATATTATGGAAATTGCAATAGAAATGAAAAAGTAATATTATTTTTTACAATCCCGAAGAGACAACCACTGATTAGGCACTTCTTTGTATAAACGATAAGAAAAACGGATAAAAATAAAATTGTCTTTAGAGTAGTAATTATTAGTATATTTGCAATCTTTATTCATAATTGGTTGAGTACTATTGTTGTTCAAAGCTGTTTAAAACTGCCAACCATGCGGCGTATTCAAGAAAGTTTTTGAATCAAAAAGAATTTGCTCAGAAATTAAAAAATGTTTGTAACTTTCATGGTAGGTTCTACCTTTTAATACAATAACTACTATATTCCCACTCTGTGATATTTAACTATCACACATTATTTACCTCAATTGCGTATAGAAATTCTCAGTGCTACATATTATCCTTAAAGGAGACAAGAAAATAAGCCCTAATTTACACTTCCTGCCATTCACTCTCGGGCTAATGATTACCTATCACAAAACATCAAACATTAGTCACATAAACTGTTTATGACATAAATACTATGAGAAAGATTAGACAGTTCCTTTGGTTTACAATTGAATACATTTTAAAAAATTGTTTTTTTTTTATTATTATTATGATTCGAATATGTTGTGTATTCGAACCGAGCTATGCTTAGGAACGAACTCACATTTTGGGATTCCTGTTAACTGATTTGTTTCTTAATAAGTATAGTACTTCTATAATCCGTTCATAGCATTTGTCAATGTTTTAATCCCATCTCAGCGATGCAGATATTTTACCCATAAGTATGGCAGTAATGCTTTTATAAGCTATAGAAGTAAAATATAGTTCCAACTATTTCCATTAATGTTGGAATTTCTTGTGACATTATGAAGTTCGAGTTCATACCGACCTTTACTACAAGTTCACGTAACTCTTTATCATTATATGATCACGCACATTCACATTCATAGTAGCTCTATAGCTCTAAAGTATGTTATTTCTTAGCTGATACTGAAGAGAGCTATTCAACTTTGTCAGGCAATAGAAAACAAATGGTGATTAATTCTTAAAGCATCTGAATATATTTTATTTAAAAATCGTTTTTGTATGCATAAACGAGGCACTATATTTTGCTGCACAGTGTAATAAGCTGACAATTGATAAGAAAGCACAAAACGGCTTCTTATCATTAATAATGTGAAAGCAATTCAAGCGATAATCAATTTGTAGAAAAGCTTTTCGACAATTTATAGAGCAAGTAGTATTGTACGGAAAGCGAAACGGGGCGTTTAGTATAAAAATGAGTGCTGAAGAAGAATACAAGCCCGTGTTAACGCGAAAAAATCGCCTGGAATTGTTTGAGTTTCAAGAATGTGAAGAAATATTGAAAAGCCTGCTGGCAGACACCCAGACAGAGGGCATCCTAAAGAGTTTTGAAATTGTGCCAGCGACGGAGAATACTGGGTTTTTAGGTGAATACTTTCATCTGAAAGTTACATATCAACTAGAAAATGTGGAGGAGGAGCGAACAGCACGACTCTTTGTCAAATCGGTTATATATCAAAATGCGAACATGGCCTTCTACATGGAGAAGATGCAATTTCTCAAGAAAGAGGCCATGCTGTATAATAAACTGTTGAACGAGTTGAAGACATTGTGTAAGTAGAGAAGATGAGGAATCGAGAAACTAAGTGCATCTGTTTATTTGTTTAGCGCCCCATGTTTGGTGTGCGAAATGCTATTACACTCGCGATGATCTGTTTGTGATGCAGAATATTGAGGACTTGGGATATGTAGCCGTGCCAGAAGAGACACGCTTTCTCAACGAATCTCAGCTGCGCCCGATTCTTAAGGCTCTGGCCACACTGCATGCCAGTAGCATGGCCTATGAGCGCAAGCACAAGCTCACCATTGGAGTAGAGCTGGGGGAGTGTCTGAAGGAAATGACTGTAGACCCCGACGTTACTTGGTGGACCATAGGCATAAAGGTGAGAAACGAATTAAATACTATCGAATAGATCTTCAATTATCTTGCTCTAGACTGTGCTCGCAGTAGCTGCAATGCATCCGATGGTCCTTGAAGATCCTCAGGCCCAGTCATATATAGCCAACGAACTACCTCGTCTTCTTGACAACGTCTATTATATGGTCAATTCTTCTCCCTTGCATCGTAATGTCTTCTGTCATCGGGACGTCTGGAGCGGCAATGTTTTCTATCACAAGCTACGCCCGGAAACGGAGGGCTGTGTTCTTGTGGACTTCCAGCTTTGTCGTTACTCTCCTCCAGCCATCGACTTTCTCATGGCCTGTTTTTTGAATGTGGAACCGAAAGAACGCCAAGAAATGCAGCAACGCTGCATTCTACACTATCATGACAGCCTGAGAGCAGAATTGTTAGCCATGGGCATCGATATAGAGCTTGAACTTAATCGCAAGGATTTCGAGCAGTCCCTGAAGGATTTTGCGCTCTTTGGTGCTACCTATAATTGTGCTGCAGCGACTATCCTACGTCTACCCAATAACTATCTTAAGAAACTGAAGGAGACACAGCCTGCGGACTTTCATCGCTTCTGCAATGTTGATCGGCGGCCAGAGGTGCTGAGACTAATAAGCGAACACGATGAGTTTCGACGCTATATGTATGACTGTGTGGCAGATCTCTTGCAATTAACATATTATAATAAAGATATTTTATGATGACCAACAACCGACCATTACCAAAAGCAGTGCTGTTTTGCTTTGCCATTATAGCTACATTATAGCATTATAGCTTGTCTTATCGGCCCACACATTGTAGATTATCTTATCGTGGGGTCGCTGTAAATTTTGTGGCTTCATACTTGGATTATTGTTTGCTGTAGGTCTATCGTAAATATCTATATCATAGATAGGTATCTATCTGAGCTTTCAAATTGCTAAAAGTAGTACAGGTACTTGAACTCAAAATAACGGTTTTTTTTGTTTTATTACAATAAATGAACAGATGTTGATTAATGGCTTTGGATTCTCTGAAATTTTACTTCAAGCCCTGCAGAACTCATTTATTTTCGATTCGCACAAAAACTTTTGGAAACTAAATTGGTGAACATGGATTAGGCTTTATGTATGTTTCATTACAAATGATTATTTTTTCTCATAAAGTCATAACGTCAAAAAGCTTGTAAAAAAGAAAAACTTTGGAAACATTAATCAAAATGTGTTGCTCAATAGTTTTATAATTAATAGTCACCAGTGAAAGCTTAAAATACATTTTGAAGAGCTAAAATGGTTAATTAATAGGTGAGGGATTGTAATCGTTATAAGTGTTATTATAAAAATTACAAAATAATGATTATTTTTTCATTTTATTCATTCTCTGACAATGTAATGATTAATTTTTAGATTTACTTTACAATTTAACGAATTACCATTATTTTTGAGCAATAAAATAAAACGTATAAAGTAATGATTATTCCTTAAGTTTTATTTTTTTTAATCAAAAATATGCCTTTTTCTTAGAGAATAAGGAACAAATTTATATATGTATAAGTATCCTTAGACTATAAGCCAAGACGAGCCCCTATAGTACAGATTTGGACTAAGAAAATACATTCTTTAAAAAATATGTTCAGGAAAAATTACAGCTTTAGTTTTTTTTTCTGCTAAGAGTTTCATTTTAGCAGACGTTTTGTGGTTCTACTGAGCTATGTCGGGCATTTCACCCCGAGATGATGAAGAGATTGTTCTCATACTATTTCAGAAAAAATTATAAAGACAAATAATAAAGACAATTTAGGTGAAAAAGATTTCCGAAGCATAGGAAATAATAAATGCATCGTTTAGCTCGGTGGAAAGACTGAATGATAAACAATAATCTCATTTATTAAGTTAAGATGCGTAAACAAAGTCCAAATATAGATAACATGTGTGACATCCAACTGCTGTCTATTTCAGACTTCAGTTAGATATGGAGAAGCTGACAGACAAGTTATCGCACACGAATCTCCTGAGCCCGAAGGAGTGCGCCTTAATAGTGCGGCGGACGCTGCAATTGCCGGAGGATGAAAATCTGCAGTTGTTGGAGTATTGGATAGAGCCGGGTTCCAGTGAACTCATTGGCTTTATGGGTGACTATTACAAGCTGTATGTCAGGGTTAAGCAGAAGCAAGAACATAATCTGCAATACTTTATTAAGAGCTTGCCGCTAAACAATGCGCCGCATAGAGACGAATGTGAGCGTAAAGGATTTTTCCGCAAAGAGAGGGCTATCTATGGAGAGATATTGCCCAAGATTCAAAAATATGGTGAGTAAACAAAGAAAATGTGGCTAACTTTTAGAAGAAGTTGCTAAAAGGATAATTCTAAAATATAAAAGCGAGTAGGGAAAGAGAGGGGAGAAGAGCTTCATCATTATAACTAAGAAATATGTTTTATGTTTATCACTAGGCCGGAGAAGATAACAAAAGACGCCTAAATTGTTGTTACCCGGTAAAAAGTATTTTATTGTTTTATTGTCTTACAATAAAGAGATAAGTAAAGACATAATAAACTTTTTACTTTTGAAAAGTTTCTTAATAAAGATAGACCAGCTCAAGAACTACCCTACAACAAGCCAATGAGGAGAAATTAGCAACTTTAAGTTTCAGATTGGGTTGATAGTTTAATGAAAAGAAGAAATTACTTTCGTAAAGACTTTTAATAACACGAATATTAAGCATACTCTTCTGCTGTCATACACAAGTTCTTTGCATTATCATGAATAAGTTAATTCGACTTAGGTTGAGGACATCAATCACGGGTAGCGGCATTGGAATTTCATTTAAGTTATTTTAGAGAGTCTTTTCTTTTCTTCATTTCTTCTTTTCAATATTTAACCGCAACATTCTTTAAATTGCGCAGCAAACTTGGACTCCAAAGAACAATTATGTGCATGATTGCTGATCCTGTACTGATCCGGGGTAGATAATTTCATTCACTTTGATATTTGGCGCATAAATTCTTTCTTTTGCGAGCTGAGTTTTCACCATATTTCTGAACTTAAAGGCAATTTAGACAATCTTTAAACAATCCGACTATAAACAGCAAGTGGAAAACTTTGTGCCAAATCTTACTATACTCGTTCGGATCTCATGGTATTGGAAGATCTTTCGTATACTTATCGTCAAATAAGGGCTGATGAGAGCTACACCTTGCAACATTTGAAAGTGGTATTGGCCCAACAAGCGGAGTTACATGCGGCGAGCATAGCTTGGGAACAAGCCGAAGGGTTCAGCATAGGTGAGCGTTACAAGGATGTGCTGTTCGAGCTTCACATAACCACCAGCAATGAATGGTATATGGCCGGAGTTAAGGTGGGTTTGTCAGAGAGTGAAGCTAGAAAAACGAATCTTAAAACAAGTCTATTAACAGGGTATTATCTATTTGGCTAAGCGACATGAGAAATTTCAAACATCGCTGGCTCAGGATTTCATAAGCAATAAGCTCTATGGATTACTCTGCAAGGCCGAAGAGATAGCGGGACCATCAAAGACCTTACGAAACGTGCTCTGCCATAGAGATACGTGGGATCGCAATATTTTCTTCAAGTTTGCGAAGGATTCCAGCATACCCGACACCTGCTGCTTTGTGGACTTTCAGCTAACCACGTACTCCCCACCCACACTTGATGTCCTATTTATGCTTTACATTATTCCCACTGCAGGCATGAGGCGCCAGATATACGATGCGTGTTTGGAGCACTATTTCCAGTGCTTGCAATCACAATTCGCTAGGCTTCAAATAGCAGCCGACACTATGAGTCGTCAAGACTTTCTGGAGCATTGCAAGATTGCCCGAGTTGCTGCCTTAATCCTGTGGGCGCTTTGCGAGCCGCTCTTGAAAATGCCGGAGGGTTTGAGCAAAAAGTTTCGCACTGAGGAGCCAGATAGGTTTGATTTTTATTTGAACAGTGATCGCAGTGGATTGCTCGAACGCGTCATGGAATTACATCCGGAATATAAGTCAGCAGTTATGGCGCCCATAGGTGAATTGTTGGAATACCTAATGGAGACTGAGGATCTCTTTAAGTTGTAAATTTCCAAGCAAATTTGAATGCGACTCTACAATTTATTTTAATCTATTACATTTGTATTAGCCAAGAATAAAAACCAAAGTTATATTCAATTTATTGCCAACAGATACGCATTTATTGTTCTTCGAATTTAATATTGTTAGCACGGGCTAGCTTTGTCTAAATGGTATAATAAAACTAACTAGAATTAGTTGCTTTTCAGTAAGTAATTGCAAAGCAAAGAGCAGCAATTTTGTATGTTTGCTTGTTAAAAGCCTAGCTACGTTTAAAAGATGGCACTCCTTACATTCATTCCCCAGCCATATACACAATATAGTTCTGCTTTTATTCAGTCCAACATTCATCTTCATTGTCTTCCTCGTCGAAATCGCGCACATTGAAATCCTCATGAAACAAGTCCTCGCCTTCCGAGGACTCCGATTGTCATCTGTTTCCATTCACACGTTGTGGTAGACCGACCACACCCTTGGGCGGGCGTGGCATCCGTATGCTGGTGGACGATCCAGCAGTTGCCGCCGGCGTTGCCTTGGCCGAGACGCTGGGTATGAGCTGTTCGTTGTAGGTCGTCGTGTGCTCAAAGCAATTGCAGCAATATCTATCACAACGTATTAGCATAATGAGACCCGCCAGCAGCCAAAACAACACACCCGGCCAGGAGTGGACGGCGCAGGCGGAGAAGAGCACTACGCCCAGTAACAGGCACATGCTGCACAGCACGGGACTCACATTGATGACGCTGCTGCCCGTGTATTTGGGTATGAAGCCCATCATAATGGCAACGACGAGGACGCCGATGGCGCCAGTAAGCGCAGCAGGCGCCCAGCGCAGCACAAGGCCAGCAACGGAAAGTGCAATGCCCAGACCCATTACGATGATGGCAAACATGGTGACGCGCCAGGAGCTGATAGTTGGTACCCGCAGGCTGCGTTCCATGGGACCAGCTGTGGTGACCTAAGCAGCGCAATAAATAAGTTGAAAAGAAATTGAAAGGGTGTGTCAAATGCACATACCTTAATTTTCTGACGATACTCATCGACTATCGCATCAATATCCGTCGAGGTATCCGAGTCAGATTTGTCAAATTTATCGGGGTACTCAAAATCCGAGGGCTGCAAATATAGAATTCCTTAGTCAATGGTCGGGCTTTCGAATAAAACTGCATCATAATGATGTCGGGGTCACCAAACATAATTTCTACTAACTGCGGATATAGTGGCCGTAGAGCTTATGCATGTTTAACTTACCGGTGGTTCCCCATCGGACAATATGGTGGACTCCACATCCCTTGTCTCACGCTGCGGACATGGCGACGTGGGCTCTCCAAGTAGGAGCCACTCCTTCTCCACTTCCTGCTTGTTCTTAGTCTTGCTCTTTGGCTTCTTGAGCGCACCCTGCTTTGGCAAACTAATGTTCCACAAGCTACGCTTTAGGCGACTGGAACTGGACATATTCGAGCTGCTGCTCTTGGTAATAGGGGCTGTTGAAAGCCGACTATAGGAGAGCGATGAATCGCTGCTGCTCGGTTGTATGTACTTTGGCCGATAGGGCGTATAGAGTAAATAGAAGGCGCGCAGAAATACGGATGTCATATGACTGGCAGCCAATGTATAGCTTAGATGTTGCAGTGGACAGGCGAAGGCCAACATGGCGCAAAGACTGCCGCCAATGAAGACGGCCAGAACGGGATTGCCACTGTCCGAGCTCTCGTAACTGATCTGTTTGGACAAAATGCGCCACTCGGAGGTGGCAAAACGCACCACAATTCCATACAACCCGGGAAAGAGCTCTAGAAACGCGGCGGAACTTGTGAGAAGCAGCATGCAAGCTGAAGCGGGCACCAGTTTGTGAAAGCCGCTCTCATCGAGTATGTTGAAGAGCGGCACAGCTACATAGTCTTCGTTGGTTCTAGCAATTACAAGTAAGAGGGGAAATTTTGTAAAGTTATAAGATAAAGTTTTAGTCAAGCCACTTACTTGTAATGCACCACCGTCGAGAGACAGATCGCTGTCAGTAGCAGGGATGTGCTCACCAGGCCGATGGTAATGGTGCCTGTGAATCGAAGGAGTCCACTACGTTGCTGCGTCGGAAAGTCGCTGGGGAAGGCATAAGTGAGCAAAGCGGTGGCTAGAAAGAACTGAGTGGTAATAGGAAATAAATATGTATACATGTACAAGTACAAGTATATCTAGTCTTCGAGAATATTCAACAAAAACCAGACACATAACTGTGGGACAGGAAATATATTTAAAAATTGCTTTTGTTCCCGAAATGAATAAAATTTGAAAAATGTTCGCAAATAAGTTCTTTCGTTTGTATGTACTTAAATTTTATAAATAAATCAATACAATAAAGATTTTATAATAACTGGCGATCTGGATCGATCGTTTTTTATATTTGTAACCCAAATTTCCACAATTACACATTGGACGACTGTAGTTGTATTGTTTAATTCTTAGTCGTCTTAATTTCTCTGTATTCTGCAGTACAGCGAGAAATCATCTTCCCCTTACTATTATTAGATGTACAACTTATGTATTATGCATTGCACAATGCTTTATGATTTATGCCTAAATTATATCCATCTGCTCCAAACTGAAATCTCTCTTTTCTTAACAAAAGCCTCTCCTTTTAGCCATCCCCGGACTTTTCTCTCTTTTCTATCTCTCTGACCACACCAGCTATAAGATGGGACATAACCACAGGGTCAGAAATTCCTTCATATATATTTGTTTAAATTGTTTTTGCTTTCTAATTTAATGAATTAGTTTTTAATTATTTCTAAGTTTCTTTTCTCTGATAGGGTTTTCTTTTTAATTGGAAATTGTATTTTTTTATATTTGTTTGCAGCTGTATTAACGCCTCTGTCTACACTTGCCTGGGATTGGAGGCACACCTAGCCAACTGGCAATTAAAATCATTCCAAATATGCTTTCCTAGCTGCTCAGGCATTTTTATAACTTTTATATTTATTTACCTATGTTCCTATTCTTGTTCGTCAGAATAATTATTTCTGACTTTTCTAATTTTACTTTTATTTATTTTCTTGGAGTGCAGTAGAGCTTGAATTGTTTCAAAAGCTGCCTTTCCTGCTTTCGTGGATTAAACATTAGTATTTTATATACAAGAATTCGGACTTTTCTAATGTTAATTTTATTTATAAGAAAGAGTATAAAAAGACCAAACCTTTTGTCACTTGCTGAGAGTGCAGCAGAGCATGAGTTGTATGAAAAGCTGCCCGTCCTGCCTCTGTTATTAAGCATTAGTATTTCATTTATTCTATCCTCTTAGCAGACACCACCCTTGCTTTCAAATATTTTCCACATTGCATGTGAAACTAACCCGAAGTGGACCTTTTCCGACTAAAACGCTTGCTCAGCTCTACGTGTCATAATCAAAAGCCTATATCCTGTGCCGCCGAATGTCGCATACACACACACACATACACACACACTATGTGTGCAAAAAACACGCAATTCGTGCTTGTCACGAGATCCGACCGACCAGATGGCATTAGCATGCAAAACTAAACCAGCGACAAAATCGATAAAAAAAATGAAGAAAAAAAAAGAAAGGAAAGCAAAGCGACAGTGCACTGACCTAATAAAACGTCAAATGCTGGTTTGAGTGTGGTTCTCTGAATACTTACGCTATTAATGCCATTGGGCTGGAAGTATTGCTGAGTCCAGGTCAGAAAATCGCCACGCCACCAGCCAACGGCACTCAGAATTGCATTCAGTCCGAACATACCGAGCGTCATGATGAGACTGAATGCCTTCGAGTGCTGGAAAAAATGTTGAAAATGTCTATAAGGACTGCGAGGGGAGACAGTATTTGGTGAGCATTGTTACCTCCAGACCCAGCATGAACATGCCAGTTACCAGAAAAACGACCGCCACACCGAGCACATCCGGCCAGGGTTCGTTGACGGGCGAATTGCGGCCTAAAAGTATGCAGCATGCATTTTTAAAGCAGCGACAGTGAGTGCCAAAAAAAATGTACCACCTACCCAGTATTAGAATTCGTGCCAAGCCACCCGTCATGGCATCCAGACAGGCACTCAGGGTACGGGCCAAGGCCGCACAGGCACACATGCCGGCCAACGCATCCAGCCACATGGCCATGAAGAGGCAGCCAAAGTCGAATTTGTTTGTGGCCCGCACATAGGGTATTTGCAGGCTGCGGAGACTCGACTTGCAGCGAGCTGTTGGGCAGAAAATAAGTTTTCTTTAATATATGGAATATGTATATAATGGAATATTTTAATAAGCTTTATCATACTAAAAGGGGAAAGGAATTGTTGCTTCTCTAAATATTCTACTTTATTCAACACAAAAAAAAGTAAATCGGAAAACCAAATTTGTTATACTCTGTACATGAAATGTACAAGAGTATATTAGGTTTGCGGGAGCTGAAAAATGTAACAGGCAGAAGGAGGCGTGGCAGACCCCACAAAATATATATATTCTTGATCAGCATGACGAGACGAGTCGATCTAGCCCTGTCTGTCTGTCTGTCCGTCTGTCCGTCCGTATGAACACCTGGATCTCAGAGACTATAAGAGATAGAGACACCAAATTTTGCACAAAGATGCGTTATGTGTGTATTCTATACGAGTTTGTTTTATTTTTTTGATTTCCCCCCCCCCCCCCCCCCCACTTCTCCCCTAAGGGGGTTTTCCCGATTTTGCATTCGTATAATCGCCTATATCTCGGAGACTATAAGACCTAGGAACACCAAATTTTAGTCCCAGATGCCTTATGTGAATACGCAGAAAATGTATATTTTGGAATTCCCCTCCCTCCCCCCTCTACCCCGCAAATCGTAACTCCCGTAATTCTTGGAATTTCGAACTAAAATTTTGGAAATACCCCCAGTTGGTTATTATGTGTCCGTATGCCATTCATTATGATAGACCGATTTAACAAGAAGTTATAGCCATAAATATATTTGCTGATGCAGCGCTGCTGCAGCGCTGCTCAAGCGCTGCCCGCGGCTGTTGTTGATGTTGCTGTTTGGTTGACTGCGAAAATGCTTACACAGACACGAATAGATGCGCATAGGCATACATACACTCACACAGACGCAATTGCTATGTAAATGTTCAATTATACACCCTTTACGTGAGTTCGAATACCGAGAGAGGTAAAATCGATCAAATTTTTTTTGTTTATTTTCTTAATTTTTTTTAATTTCTATATTTATTCTAAACATATGTACAGAGTATTTCAAAGTCGGGACACCCGACTTTAGCTTTTTAACTTGTTTTTGATTAAAGTAGCATTTAATAGCATTTCTAGTCGAGCTGTTAGCTATAAAGACAGTAGTTAGAGTAAGTTTGTAGAAATATCTAAATTCCTGAAAGACTAAATTGAAGAACTTTAAAATTTCAGTTTCTTTTATTTGTTGTTAAGACATCAGAAATAGGTTGAGGAGTTGAGAAAATAAGCATTGAACATTAGGTGTTATTATAAAAATTACAATATAATGATTATTTTTTAATTTTATTCATTCGCTCATAATATAATGATTAATTTTGACTTTTACATCATTACAAATTAACTAATAATCATTATTTTTTTTAGCAAAAAAATAAAACGTATAAAGTAATGATTAATCCTTAAGTTTCATTTTTTTGATCAAACATAAACGTTAAGTTCTAATTGTACCAGCTTTTTTCAAATGGAATAAAAAATAAAAATGAGTTTTAAAAAATATTTAATGAGTTTTATTTGTTCGCTTTAAAGTAAAACTCAACATTAATCCTTAAATTTTGAAAGAATGAATAAACATTAAAATTTGTAAATCATGGTGAAAATGCGTAGATATTGGTAAATTTTTCGCTTTCTCAAAGTTTCTAAAGGTGAACGATTTTTTCGCTTAAATAAAATCATTTTTTGCAATACACGTGAATATCTTTGTTTGTTCAGTTAAATTTTTATTCACAGTGTAAAATCATGGGACGAACTACTTATTCCTATGTCCTTGTTAGCTTACCTGCCATGGCGCCATAGACGGTGGCCAAGAGTGTGGCGAACAGCAAAGTGGGTGCCGACGCCTCATTGTAAACAATCAAATAGGCAATGACTGAGGAGCCTAGAGCCAGGCGGGCGCCACTGCCATTACATAGAGCGTCCAGTAGACTGCAAGGAAAAAGCAGGAAAAACGTACAATATCAAACCAAAAAAAAAAAGCAAATGCAATTAAAATACGATTAAGTGCGACAGACTCATACGCCATGTGGCCCCAAAGTTACTGAAAAGCCAGACACTGTGGCTTGTCACCTCAGCTAAGAGAGCTTTTGCGGTTAGCGCCCAACCAGATTCAGTCCACGTAAGCCACAAAGACACACATGCACACTCACTTCCATATGCACATACAATATATATTGTTGATATATGCTCGTACATATATTCGTACATATATGTGGAAAAAGAAACATGTCAATGCAAAACATTGTGATGATGCTGTTAAGCCCAGGACTTTGTTGGCTGGACTTGGCCTGGGTTGGCTTCATGCTGCGCTTCGTCCTGGACTCATTTTACAGTTGGAGGACTGTGGTTGCCTCCGGCTATTGACTCGACACTTGGCCAACACCCCATGGGCATTGTAAATCATTGCCACATTTTTCTCTCCCAGAGTCCGGTCAGAGGACCGACCAGCTTGCCAATTGATGTAAATTATAATTGTATGTTTGCCGCACGATTATCTTAATTACATGAGCTGTGCATATAGCCATTGGGCAGCACAGTCAGCCGTGTCCATTATCCTTGCCTCCTACGGGGAGTACTTTGTAATGTAGAGTGGGTGCCGACCGTGTTTGTCCACTGGGTGCCGGAAAAATTGTGCAAGCGACTGTATCTTGATTGCACATCAAAATGATGATTATAATGAGATGTTCAGAACACAAAAGGGGCGCTATATAATTAAATTAAAGAGTTTATGTTACGCTCTCCTCACTCACTAGAGCATTTCTTATTAGGTGTTTGTTATTTAGTTTATAATTATTTTGTAGGCACTTAATGTTATTTCAAGTAATTCAAAAAAATTGGTTTTGAAGTTAACTGAAAGCATAATTTTCAATAAAGTGTGATCTGGCGATTATTAAATTGATTAAATTGAGTTAAATTAAAGTAAATTAGCACGGCAAATAAAATACTGCTTAGGAACACATTAGAATAGCTCCCATTTCTTTGTTATTTGAAAATATACGAACATAAATTAAAAGTCAAGCGAGTCTAACTCTTGAATGCCTTCTACTCATCCAAAATAAACTTTGTTATACGAATCATTCCTAAGAAAAGAGATACGATATGGTGGACCGATTTTGATAAAACTTAATCTTATATAGTAATGATAAAGTTCTTCAGTTCTATAGGAACATACTAAATATCAATTTTGGTTACGATATCGTAATATACTATACAAAGAGTTTTTAGTACAAAGATTACTTTCAGCAAAGGTCGCCCCTGTGACAGCTTTAAAATGCGGGGCAGAAACTATATAAAACACCATAAATATAACAGATTTGGTTACGATATCTTAATAAATAACAAAGTTTTCGGTACTAAGATTGGTTTTCATATTGATAGTTCCTATGGCAGCTGTAAGAAATGATGAGACTATATATGCTTATTAATAAACTTGAGCTGCGTATGGATAGAACAAATATGCAAACCATGTTTTAAGTCCTTAACTACTAGGTTCAAAAGTTCTCGGTACTTATACGGACGGATAGAAAAACAAACAATTTTCAGGAATTGAATTGCTTGAATTATTGGTAATTTATATGCAATTTATTTGAGGCAATGTAAGAAAGAAGTAAACTATAAATACAAGTATTGTACACATAAACAAAACAAACACATAGTGTTTCAAAATATAAAAAGAACATATGCATTTGTATTTCATAAATACGAGTATTTTATTAATATTAATTGCCTTTCTATTTGCCTTTTAAACATGTGCTCAGTTAAATTATTTTTAGACCGCAAAAGCACGCCAGTTCTAGTCGAAGCTAATAAAAGCAATTAGCAAATATGCAAATAAATATTCATACCATACTCGTATATATACTTGTAGTATTGTTTATAATACATAGGATACTCTGTTGCCAATAGACCAATAGTTGTCAAGTCTGTCGGGCCGGCGGTCTGCCAGTCTCTGGCCAAGTACGTGCGTGTGTATTTGGTTGTGGGCTGTACTCTTATAAGTGCGTGACTGCCAAAAATAAATACAATTTGAGGGCTGGCGTAAATAACGCAGTCGCACGAAATAATGCCCAGGTAGAGAAATTCCAATTAAAAACAATGGCTTACGGGCAGTTGGAAAACATAAGTTAGAAGGCACTTTTAATTTTCAATTCAAAATGCTGTAATTTCTAAATAAAGTAAATCTATAAACGTGTTTGAAATCAGATCTGAGAACTCAAATTCATCTGCAAATATATTCGCTTAAAAGGCAGTGCATTTAATGGTACTGTTTTTACTGACAAACAGAATGGAATTCTATTGAATTATCGCCTAGGGTCCAAACAAATTCTTTACTCATTTTTTCTTTACTATTTTGAAATGTGTTTACATTTTATTCTATATATTTCTTGAAAGCTTTGCAATAATATTAGTTTTACAGCGCGAAATCATACAATTGATTGATTCTGTTGGTTCTTCTTCTCAATCTATTCAGTTATAGCCCAGTTATGGTGGGTGTTGAGGCAAATGGGTTAAGTTTCCTGTGCAGAGCTGCAGCATCAACTGATGAATCAAAGATAATACAAATTCACTTTATTATAGAATAAACGTCATTTAGAACAAACAATATTAATCTGTGTTTATAAAGCTCCTCTTGGTAATAGGCCGTGCCTTCGAACTGACAATAAAGCTCCACATCAAATATTCTGTTACTGATATAACCGATGCTAAGCAGTAATCTACTAATATTCTTTTACATCCAAATACCATCCAAATAAATGCTAAACAACTTCATACGCTGGTCACCACTTCCCCAAAAAAAACCCGATGTTTCTCTCTTTTAATCAAACATATAGTGTGAATGTCCCATAGACCGTCTATGTTCAATCAAAGCTTGAAAGTATTTTACGACTCCCATGGGAAGGTCGTAGCAGCCCTGGTATTATCGTGCGAGTGTACTTGGCCAACAAAGCCATAGACAAACAGCGCCAGTCGGTGCGACGCCGACCCAAACATGGCAACAAAGCTGTTCAGCAGTTGAGGGGCAGGCAACAGAAAGCAGAAAGCAAAAAAAGCAAAAACAAAACAAAAAACAAAAACTGAAAGCAGAGCAGGGAAACCCACACAAAAATCAAAAATCAATTTATTGATTAGATGACAAATAAGTATTATCATGTGGCGTATGGCAGGCTATTTAGTTACGAGTTTAATGCAAATAGTGGGATGCAAATGCTTTGCTAATGCATAGAGGGCTAAGAGCCCTCTCGGTTTTTCCTACCTGGCGCTCGACATTTTCACGGACTTGTTGTTGCACTCGCTTTGATTACTGGCGCAATGCCAGGCTAATGCTCAAGTGTATTATTTTTTGTTTTATTTATAATTTGCATTTATTTCTGCATTTTCATTTGTGGTGCCTGGGGCTCTCGGAAAGCTTCAATCGGATTGAATAATTTTAGGTAATTTCTGGTGATGGACACGAGCACGTTCACAGAGAGACGCAATAATTATATTTGTTATACTATTTCCTGGAATTTGTTTAATGCCCAGCTCTGAGCATTATTAGTTTATGACAGTTTGTCAGCATTTTGGACTTTAATTAGCCACGCTGTCGAACAACGCGTTGCCTTGACGTGCCTCGACGACGACGAAAAAATTTGATATTGTTTTGTTAGTCGAGAAGGGGGGGAAAAGAATTAGCGCGCACTGCTGGCTCTTGGATTGGCCTTAATTGACTGAAGCAGCAGGCGGCTGGTAATGTTATTTTCGAGCTTCGGCGGTGAAAGCTTTCTCCGCCACACTCTCAACAGCTGATTGGTTCTCAGAGTCCTGCGCACTGACAATTGTTTACAGTTGGTTTGGCGGTTTGGCATTTGCTCTTTGCTCGCTTGATGTCACTTTTGGCTTTTGGCTCTCAAAAGCTACTCAAGTGCAAGTCTAGTGCTTGATAAACAAATGTAGGAGCTGCCCAAGAAATTATCAACCAAGTGAGAAGATCTTGAACATCTTGAGTAGAAGGAATAAGCCGGCGACCTTGGCATAGTCACAAGGCGTTAAATTCAACTGTTAAAAGCAAAGTCAAATATGCGTGGAATGCTCAAATGAACTCATGAGTTCATCATTGAAAATAACAATAATAATAACAATACGCAAATGGACAATTGTGTGCCAGCCACAAATTCTTGATTTATGTTTGCTAACACGAATCTAAAACAAGTGACGCAACTATTCTTATAGGTATATTTGGCAATGAAACAAGTTTCAAGTGAGAGCTAAAAAAAAACAAATAAAATGGTCAGACAATGAGAAATGTTCAAAGTTTTGTGATAAAAAAAACTTCTAAGAGTCTAGACTTTGATAATAAATAAACTATTTAAATAATTGGCTACAGTTGAAATTGCTTAAGACGAACAACATTTCTGATCTCCTGATCGTACCCTGTTGGTCTTAATGGTTGTTCAAAAAATTTATAAAAATTGAAAATGTATACAAAAAATTGGAAAAAAGTTGCATTACGAACAATTAAATTTTAATATTAATTAATAAGTGCTTAAGATTATGATGTTACGGAAGGAAAAGCAAAAAAAGTGTTGAAACAAACATTAGTGACAGAAATGGAATCGAAAATTTATCAGTTCTTAGAATAGTTTTCAATGTTTTGGGGGTAATAATGCAATGGGGTATCAAAGCACTTAGAAAAGGTGATCAATAACAATATCTTAAGCATCGAAATGATAACACAGTTTTGCATACTTATACACGAAAACATATATCAGTGACGGAAATGAATCCGAAAAAAGGGTAGTTCTTAGAATCGTTTTTAAAATTGTGCATAAGGTAGCATGGTCCGAGGCATCGAAAAGATATCACAAAATATCTGTACTTGATGCAGGTAGAAAATGTAGAAAAGCGCAACAATTGCTTTTGTTTTGGTTGTGGAAACAGATAGCAGTGTCATGCCTAAGTCGCTATAAATAATAAGAAACCGTTCTTTTATTGACTTAAACCGCAAAGCAACCACATCCAGCGAGTAACTGCTGTATGTAAATGAATAGTCTGCTATAACAATGAGCCAGACATGTCCATCATTGGACGGAGTCTAGTAACAGGCCACCTGATCAAGCTCGAGTATCTTTGTATCTACATCTGTCACTGTCGACTGGGCTGGCTGGTTTGTTTTAGAGGTTGATCATGCATTGACCATTGGCACGGCATTTAGCACTCACTCATTAAACCTACGACTCGCACTTGCCACTTGGCACTCCACACTGCGACTGTCGACCTTCTGACCAACTTTAAAGTCATTTTTATTTTATAAAATTAACGAAAATTGTGTGTGCTTATGTGTTGAGATGTCGGCACCATTTGGATATTCTGTTTATGTGTTTGTTTATGTGGTTTTTGTTTTGGTACGGCATTATATGATATAAGTCGTGCTATATCTTTAGCTGTCTGGCATTTTTACTTATGAGTGGCTCACTAATTAAATTAAAATAGCTTAACATATATATCTATAATTTCGTGGACTTTGGATTAAAATTAAAAGTGGTCGAAATGTTTTACATATTTTTTTAAACATAAAATTAGGAAATGAACATAGAACTTCTGGTACTTCTTTTCTGTTTGACATATACAATATTGACATTTATAATTCAGTCAAAATTGTTTTTATCCAACAAATAGCCTTGAACTTGAACTTGAACTATTTTCGGACGCTTTATAATTAAACAGCATCACAGTTTCTCTTATTTATGTTGAGCTTTACATATGTATTTAGTTTTGCATTCATATGTAAATTTTAATGCGAACATGAACTTGAAAACAAACTTGCTTGAAATCCACTCAAAAATTTCATATTTTTCTTTTAAATCGAATGCCTTTGTTCGTTGAATGATAGACATCAACGTAAAAACTTGTATCTCAAAGAAATCAACAGTGTTTTCAGCCTCAGAAGTACTATTACAAAAATGCGAACTCATTTGGTATGCACAAGTCTTCAGTTTATGGAAAATTAAAGCATTTCTGTAAATGTAAATTTGTGTACCAACTCTAGCAACTTTATGAAGCTAGACGGACAAAACCAATTAACATGCAAAGCAACGAAAAAAAAACTCATCGAGTAAACAACGAAAAAGTTTTCGCAGCTTCTATTTTTTGGTTATGTTCGTTTGTTTGCTGCTGGAAGTTAAATTAAATATTGTTTCCTCAATCTCTCGTTATCTAAAAGTTACAATTGTGGCAGCGCCAAGTTGATAAATTAACAGTTATTCATTAAAGACCTGGCAGGTCGCTGGTAATTGCGGCCAGTTAGTTTGATAAAAGGTAATTTTGTGAACAAACTTTAAATAATATTAAATGGACAATTGTGCACGGCTGTACCAGCTATCTAGAAACTGCGCAATCTAAGTTTAAAACAAGTAAAAAAGCTAAAGTCGGGTGTCCCGACTTTGAAATACTCTGTACATATGTTTACAATAATTATAGAAAATAAAAAAATTAAGAAAATAAAAAAAAATTGGATCGATTTTACCTCTCTCGGTATTCGAACTCACGTAAAGGGTGTATAATTGCACATTTACATAGCAATTGCGTCTGTGTGAGTGTATGTATGCCTATGCGCATCTATTCGTGTCTGTGTAAGCATTTTCGCAGTCAACCAAACAGCAACATCAACAACAGCCGCGGGCAGCGCTTGAGCAGCGCTGCAGCAGCTCTGCATCAGCAAATATATTTATGGCTATAACTTCTTGTTAAATCGGTCTATCATAATGAAATTTGGCATACGGACACATAATAACCAACTGGGGGTATTTCCAAAATTTTAGTTCAAAATTCCAAGAATTACGGGAGTTACGATTTGCGTGGTAGAGGGGGGAGGGAGGGGAATTCCAAAATATACATTTTCTGCGTATTCACATAAGGCATCTGGGACTAAAATTTGGTGTTCCTAGGTCTTATAGTCTCCGAGATATAGGCGATTATACGAATGGAAAATCGGGAAAACCCCCATAGGGGGGAAGTGGGGGGGAAAATCAAAAAAATAAAACAAACTCGTATAGAATACACACATAACGCATCTTTGTGCAAAATTTGGTGTCTCTATCTCTTATAGTCTCTGAGATCCAGGTGTTCATACGGACGGACAGACGGACAGACAGACAGACAGGGCTAGATCGACTCGTCTCGTCATGCTGATCAAGAATATATATACTTTGTGGGGTCTGCCACGCCTCCTTCTGCCTGTTACATTTTTCAGCTCCCGCAAACCTAATATACTCTTGTACATTTCATGTACAGAGTATAATCAACTAACTGGAAACTAAGCAACTAGAATCCATAATCGTGTTTGAACACAAACTAAACTTGTTGAGAAAACAGGCTTAGTAAGACTAATTTATTTTGTTTAGCCCAATATTTTGTCAATTTATATGTCTAATCGAAAATGTCTGTAGTTTGATACTCAATGTATTCCATATATATTTTAAATAGGTAAAGTCTTTGTCTATCTTCAAGCCGGTTGCAGGTCTGGACTTCATATTGCATATTTGAAACATTGATTAAGAGTTTCTTTATTTAAAACAGAAACTAGTTTTAGTTGAATAGATGGCAGCAGTTTCGTATAATTTGTTTCTTTCTATATCTATTATTTGTTTTTATTTTTATTTTGATTGGAAAGTATATTAATTATCTATTCCTGTGGGGCATTATTTGATGGGATTTTACGATCACGCTGGTGTAAAAATATATAGGGTATTTTAGAAAATCTCTAAATAAAAAATAAAACAGTTTACCCTGACTGACTTTTGGGTAGGAAGCTAGGAAGTTTCAGTGAAAGTAAGCAATAAGAAGCGGCGTTGGGAAATTATAACTCCAAAAGAAGAAAAACGGGCTCCAACATTTGCATAAAAAATCTGTCATCTTCATCTGATTAACTTCAAACTTAGCTTGTATACTCTTGAATGAATACAAAAAAAAAACTGAATATTTGTATGTCAGACAATAGTTTTTAATATTTAAGATGGTCTGAAAGGTTTTTAATTTCAACAGAGCAAGTATTGAATTACTTCAATGGCATCATTATGTACGGAAATTGATGATAATTGGCCAACAAGTGTGGTTAATTGTTTGTTAAGACTGTATTTTATCTCAATTTGATTTAACAAGCTCTTCAAGAATACCCTTTACTGCAATTAAATTTGAATTGAAGCAACTGCCAAGTGTGTGTGATATCAGGAATAATTAATGGAAATCTCAATAGGCTTCAGTCAAGAGCAAGTTGCTTCACAAAAGCTATTTATAGTTATCTCACAATCGCAATCGGTGGCACAATTCTAATTCAATGTCAGGGACGGCTAGACAAAGATTATAAGTAACAAGTATATGCTCTGTGGAAGACTGAGTATTGTTGCCCCATAATCCGTATTTATTTTCTTTATGATGTGTACTTATAAATTTAATTGCATGACTGCCTATTTTTTTTACTAACTCCATCTATGTACGTTTGTGTATGCTGCGATCTTAAAAACGCCAGCAAAACACGTTCTGAGATTTAAAAAAAAACTCCCCCCTCATATACAGTAGCCTACACGTGTTACTAATTTTTTGGCAAAATATGACGTTGTGTCGTAATTGAAATCAAATTAACACATCAGCAGTTCGTAGGTATTATCTAGTATTCGCCAAGTCCGGCATTAGCTTGTGGGTTCTATGTGACCTTCAATTTGTGTTGGTAAGTTTCAAAGAAGCCGATCAGTTGTGTTTGTTTATTTCTTTATTTCACAATTAGCATGCAATTTATTATTGGCCTTTTCTCTTCTTCTTGCAACTAATAATACCCACCATGCGTTCTAATCAAATGGGCCATCAAAAAGAAAAAGAAAAACAAAAAATGCAAAATCCGAGCCAATACATATATACATACACACAAACATACATACATACATACACATATACTGTGTGTATAATTTTAGCGCATGCTTGGAAACACGTTCGCGAAAACGGCACAAACGCAAACGCAGGCGGAAGTTATGTGTTTCAAAACGAAACGAAACAAAACGAATCGAATCGAATAAAATTCTAAAGATTTGGCCACATGAAGGTGCTTGGTTAGAAATCACATTAGGCTTGGCTTCAGATCGCTTTGGTTTTGTGGTTTCTTAGCTTATTGCATTGGTGTGTGTCCGTGTGAGGAAGTAAAATAGGTTAAAGTTCGCATCATCAGTTCGATAGATAAATGGCCAAGTCCGGCAAATTGCTATAATTTGGCAAGTTTGTTCTAACGGGTTTTTTGCCACTCAAGGCTGTAAGCATACGCTCTTGACGCGTTAGTTTTTGGTTTTACGACTTGTTTCTACATATGGATTGAAAACATTTTTGGTGCGCGGTCAACAGGGCACGAGGTTAAATTTTTTACTGCAGTTTTTTTAAAAAAGGAAATAAAACTTCATAACGTGTCAGTCAGGTGATATTTTAAATAGAATGTATCATTTTGTTTGTGCCTGATATGCGGAAATGTCTCTTAATTAGAAGGAGCCAACGAGGTGCTCAACTTTTCTCACATTCTGCCAATAGCGCATTGATTATTGATATTGGACTGGACTTCGAGTAGGCAGTGAACCATCTAATAAACTATTTCCGAACTCAATTAAAAAACCTTTTTTTATAAAGATATTAAAAATAAAAACATATTCTCATGGCTATTTCAAAATAATGGTCTGACCAATCGATCACCTTTCAAGGAATTTATATTTTATCAGCATACATACTTGTACATATGTGTGATATATACAGATGTTAAAATGATAAGTGAGGCCATGATCGCACAAGTTCTAATACAATTTGTATTTTGTAAGCCAAACTAACATGAAAAGTCCATCTAAAGAAATAAATAACTTGTTGAAAAATTGATACAAATTTGTTTTAGCTTTGAAAAGTAATTCACAAAGAAATTTGTTTTAGTAGAAAATTAAACTTTTGTGTAGAATTCGTACTACTTTTATTGAAATAACACTACATACATGACGTACTTGTAGATTGCCTGCCAACTTGAAAGAATGACGGAATAAGTAAAGTTTAAGAGCACACAAATAATTAATAATAAACTTCACAAAAATTATACCAACAATTCTATATAAAACGTGTGCCATACCAAATTTAACATTTATTTGACTAAACTGCCGAAATAGCAATAAATAATTAATATTATTTTTTCCTTTCGTACTTAAACTTTTAAAACTTGGAAATAACAATTAAATTTAAGTAAATTCTTAGACACACATGATAGATTGAAATCCATTTCTTGAATAACAATGTGATACAAATAAATGGCAACTCCGACAACAGCTGTTAACCACAGTTTTAGTCTACTGTTCTGTCATTTGCCGCTCTCTCCTTTTTGTAATTTCTCTTGCCTTTATGTTGTTTTGAGTTTCACAGCTCTCTCCAGCAGGCACCGTATGGACATTGGAACCACATTAGTTTACAGTTAAGCCTCACCCACCACTTAAGGTGCGCTCTCTTCGTTCTTTTCCGTTCACCGTTGTGCGCATGCGTCGCAAATGTCAGACGGTTCAGAGAACAGAAGCCAAACCGAAAAAACATAAATATTAAAGCTAGAAATCGAGCAGACAATAAGTATGCACAAATATTTAAGAACTAAACTAAGCAATTAGCATAATTTATAAATTAATAGCGCTGACGCAGGCGTGTTATTTAATCAATGGTAGCCGGCAAAGAAACGTATAGTTAATGTATTGTTGTTGGTGGTTGTGTTAGTGTTTCAGTGCCGTGAGCACTAAAGTTGCAGTCGATTGGCGTGTCAATAAGAGAATTAAATTAAATGTGTGCCGCAAACCAAACAAGACACTTGACTGTTCTGACTGCGATAAACATCAAATTAAACTATTAAAGTAAATTGTTTGACACAAGCCAAAGCATATAAAATTAAGTGGATAACCTTCAAAGTGCGAGAAGCCAGTTTAAAAGACATGCAATTGGCCCCCACTACGTGCTACATGGGCGGGCAGCTCCCCCTTCTGCATTATGGCTCGGAATACTCCATTCCGGCGGAGCTACAAACGTTATCTTGAACACCGATTGGCCTTAGACATGTTTTACAGTTTCTTGACCCAAAGCTATGACTGCGTATTTCTTAAAAAATGTATTTTGCATAAAGCAAAAAAATGAGAAAAACGCACGCAAACATAAATATTATTATGCAAGCAGTGACGAAATCTTAAAGAATTGCCAAAAAGTGATAAAAATGTGTTTTTTAGGGTTATTTGCATACTTGTTTCGTTTGGCAAGAACATAAAAATTCACGAATAAAAATATATACTTGATTCTTGTCGCCACTTCACCCAAAGAAAAAACATCAGGATCAAAGTACAATTTTTTTTTTTTAAATAACATTCTAAATTTATATAACTTTCATTTTTTGTGCGTTAAATAACCAATGAGCTTAGCATATACATACATTTATCAGACTTTAATGGAAAGTTTCCTGTATGGGCATTACGTATAATCCACATCAATTAACACAATTTTGTGTTGGAAGAAATTCTCGCGTATTTCGTTTTATTTATGTGTACATATTACATATTAATTACTTACTAAGCTTCAAAGAAGTTGGCTGTGTGTTACTAGAAAATACCCTTTAAATGAGTTGATTTGGAAATTTAAGAGTTAAACGAGTAAAGAGTAGATTATACTTGTATAGTATATTTTTAGTTTCTGTATCGTGAAAGACTGAAAGTGTTTTCATTAAAATCTCCTTCCACTGAAATCAGAAAACACGCTAGCTGACAAGACAAACATATGTACATGTATGTACATACGATACTTACCGATTTAGTTTGAAAGAAGTTATTTTACTATAGAATATTGAAAAGTGGTTAGAACAAGTTGACCATATATATGAAATTAGTTAATTAAATGCATTGTCATTTTTAAAATGGTAAAAAATAGGAATTGAACATATTACATAGAAACATCCCGAAAAAATATGGTTAAATTATAGTAAATAAACTAAGTAATTGGAGAACATTTTGTTTATGTTTTAATAAACAAAAGTTATCATCATATCTGGTGAAATTTAAAAAAAAACTACAACTGGCGGATTTATAAAGAATATAATTAACATTACATAATATTAAAAAGTGGGCACTATGGTTTGAAATTAATTTGTGATGCAATTTCAATTTATTTACAATGTTTATGAAAACTGTAAGAATTATAAATTACGGGGACCGTTGACAGCCTTAACAGCAAGCAGGCGTTTTTTATATATTAGATATTTATTGATATAATTTTTCCAATAGGTTGTAATAACAAGGCCTTAAAGTATAGGTTTTTAGGAAGCTTTTGGTGCTACTCATACGCTGGGTGTGTATATTTAGATCTATAATATTTATTTTTTAATATCCCTTTTTAGAACTAATGAAAAAAGATAATAAAGATAAAGTATTTGTGCAGCTTAATTAAGATAACCCAAAAAATCAGCGTTTGTTGTCTTAAGACTAAATAGTAAATAGATTTTTTCATTAGACGAAACACATTTCCTGTACATTTATTGACATTTTATGTTAGACATCTCTCTCAGTCACACGAGTATTCAACTTCTGAACCCATCATAAAAACAACGGAAAAATAAATATCCGAATTAAATATTGAGAGGTTTTCATGTAGGATCGTTGGTTCGAGATTGGGCGTGTGGTGACAAGCTGGAAGACATTTAAAACAATGCGGACAAAGAGCGGACAATTTCATTAGATCCCGTCCTGTATTAGTAAAAAAATTTAAACTCTGATGTCAGATCAGACAACAAAGTAACAAAATTGAAAACAAAATATATGCTAAGCAGTATTTCAACTACAAGCTGAAACAAGGCGCATTAAAAGCTATCAGTTTGTAATCATTTTACTTAACAGCTTATTGAGAGTTGACGACTTACCATGAGTTGACCCTCGGTTCTAACCTTGGTTGGCCTTGGCCAAAGATACGCCCTTTAAATCAAATCATTAGCACAGCCAGAGTTTCAAAGAGAATGTCTGATGGTGTTAAGCTTTGGGTTTACGCATTAGGTTGAAACCTTCAGCTTACAAATCAATTTTATGGCTTACCTGTTGTACATTACAATTCAGTACGCATTCAATTACGAGACTATTGAGATTAATTTAGCCTCCTCAGTTGCCCAGCCACTTGGTCAGGCTTTATGCAACTTTTCACAGCGCATTTGCCACACCGTTTACAGCTGCGCTTGGCTGATGTTTGACCCCAACTATTAGTTGGCCATTACACATGCCCAGCAGCCATAAAAAAGCTTTGGTCGGCCTTCCCCACAAGCAGCAGTTGCAATAAAATTTACAACGCCGCCAACCAACCAACCACATAAATCTGAATTAATTTGCAATGCTTAGAGGAACTGCAAAAAGTGCTAACAAATTAATAACACAAAAGCAAATTAAATATAAAATAAATAAGTGAATAAGAAAACATAGAACGGGCATCATACATACAAGTACGTATGTATGTATATATGTAGGTATAAGAGAATAATAAGCTAAAAGGTCTGCTTGAGATAAAGCCTGGCCTGCGGCTAAGCTTTTGCTTTTGCTTTTTCATTTTTGTTTAGCTTTGTGATCAAAACAAAAACAAAAACTACGCCTGACGTCACAGAGCTTGGCGAGATCAACAACAGCAGCAACAACAAAAACAATACAACCAATTCGCAACTGCGCCGCACAGCCGCACTGCCGCTGCCTGTGTCGCTGTCGCTGCCAACGCCGGCAGCGCTGATATCCAATAGCGCGCCAAAATAAGAAGTCGAAATCATTCCTTTCGAGCGCACAACGTTCAAATTCGTTTGCTACGCTCACGAGAGCGGACGTGGACGACGAGCAGCGCGGAAAATCACAAAAGACGAAAAACGACAACAACAGAAATAAACAACGATCAACAACGAAAAAGAAATATAATAATATAAATAAAAGCAAAACGCAAACCGTAAAACAGTTAAATCATATGTTGGCTTTGGCTCTGCCAGTTTGTTTGTTTGTTTGTCTTGTCGCCGTAACTCGTTTTCATTTAATTCAATTACGCAAATATCCTTCCCCAAGTGTTTTACAACATAAATGTGGCAAGACCCAGAAACGTGCTAAACAAGTGAAGTGCAACCAGAAAAGTCAAGCAAAAGATATCGAATACAAACGGTGCGAAATGGTGAAGAACAATAACAACTTGCTGGCCGATATGAAGACGCCGGCCAATGGACAAGCGCATGCGCTCTCAAATGGCAATGGTGTGGTGCCAACAACAACAACAACCACAACAACAATAACAGCTGCACCTACAGCAGCAGCCGCAGCAACAACAACGATGGCAGCCAACAGCTGGCGCCAAACATTGTGGAACTGGTGGGACACATTCGCAGATGTGGCTTGGTTTATAATCTGTTGCATCGGCTATATATTGCAGGTGAGTTCACAGTCACAGCATGACCTCAAAAAATTTGCATATGTATGAGTATTACGTTGTGTGGGAAAATGTGAAAAGATTAACAAAAGACCACAAATTATAATGACCATAAATATTCGTACAATAATAAATAAAATATTGAATGAAATTCCCAAACAATTGTATCCTGATTCAGAATACTTAAAACTTTACAACCATTAGACTTAAAAAAATGTAGCGACCATTACGAAATATTTTTAATTCAAAACAAAAAAAATATTTAATTAAATGTTCACTTAATTATATATATCCTAAACATACTAAGTATAATTTATCAGAAATAACTAGTAATTCCTCAAAATACTACACTTAATTAGTTATTTTATAATAATTTTCCAAGAACATTTGACAAAAAATCTCGAATTGTTTTAAGTAATTAACTTAGAACTGAATGCACCAGTAAAGCTAACATTTCCATACATTTCGAAAGTCTCATTTAATCTTTAAAGATTGTAAGGAAATTTGTGTGCTCAATAAGGTTAAACTTTAAATAGCTAGTTGAACTGCCATTCAATGAAAATGTCCTTTCTGACCATCACAATATCAGAGAAAAGTTCTGCAAGTTTTTAGTTGTTTAATTGGAAACATTTGTTTAAAATCTATATTTTGTTTAATTAGGGATTTAATTTTTAAAGAAGGCTTTTGTTTAACTAACGAACTGAACTGAACGACTTTTATGATACTAAAATCAGATATGAACTTGTGGTGGGGATGCAGCTAGCGAGATTAAACTGTTTTTAAAATTTATTTGTTTTAGTATGCATCTGATTTTGTCTAAAAGGGCTAATATACAATACAAGTTTACTATATTTAATAGCAACTTATTTCCAACAGTTAACTAAATTATTCAAATAGAAATATTTAAAAAAGCAGGCTCAATCGATTTAAATTATCACGCACAAATAAGAGTTGGTTTTATTTCTTAAAAATATTTTAAATTTGGCGTAAATCAACGTCTTTGGAAGTGGTATAAACATTCAGGGTTTCCAATGCCAATGCCAAAGAGCAAGAGCCGCAGCCTCTTCTTTACAACTTGTTGTGCAAATACTAATTAATGTGTGTATTCTGTTGATTGCTTCCGTATTATTGAACGCCATATTGTCTTATATGGCTACTTTGCATGAGCCTAGCAGAATTGTTTGCCAAATACTGAATACAAATTCTCGTAACATAGGCTTTAGCCCTGGCTGATTAACAGCATTGTGTGACTTATCTTCGAGCTGCGATAAATGTGCAACTCGACAGCCTTCATCTTATCGCTGCCCAGCAATGTGGTTCATCAAGTGTCTGGGGCTTTGCAACTGGAATCAGCTGCGAGCAGCGAGCGTGTTACGAATCGGAAAAAGTATTAATAAACTCCAACAATTAAGTTATTTAATTACCAGCGATTTGCGATTTAATGCACAGGATGGTCGTGTTAAGAGCGAATAAAAACCGCAGGCGCTGATAAATGAGTTATAGTTCGCGTGCTCCGCTTAATTAAAGTCGATATACGAGTATGTACTTATGTGTGTAACTCAAAAGGCAGATGAGAACTGTAATATCTAGATAAGGCGGCCAAGCTCTCAATTGTGACGACCCACACATAAAACTGTCAACTTTAGATCCATTTTGCTTATTCAAGTTAATGAATGGAATTTAAAAGTGTTTGCTTTACTTACGTCTTGTCTCTAAATAGAACGGCTTCCCTGTCTAGTCATTTTGCATGCCATTCCTTTTCGCATTTCATTCATATGCTTTGTCTGTGCTTTTATTTTCCATACCTGTTTGGTTATCACTTATTAACAATCTTGATTTAATTTATTATTATTGATTTATTTGCTGACCATCCCCTTTTGGTTCCAACACTCCATAAATCTGTTCAGATAATGTATAAATTAACGTTGCCAAGTAATTTACATTTACAAATTATCTGTTTTCTATACTAAGTTTTAGAATAGTTGAGAAATGCCTTCAAAATAAAGATAAATCAATAAACTTACACAATACGAGTAGTTGTTGCATTTAAATCTTTGGATTATTGATTTTCACAGTGATTCTAAAAAGCTCCTCAGAAAAACAACTAAATGGCTAAAACTCATTGTCAATTAAATGTTCTCAAATAAGAATACAGCATTTTTGAAATTCTTTGAAAGAAGAAAACCTTATAATGCACAGCGCCATCAAGATACGGCTTACTGCTTACATCTCGTTGCATTCCAACTACAACACAGTGTTCTTATTAAGCTCGAAATATTGGCTTATTAGATGCAAAAATGTAAAGCAATGTGGAATTTCAAATTTGTAAAATTCTTCTAACTTCGCAGTCTTTGGCCGCCAACTGTAATTTGTTTTTTTTTTTTGAAATTGTGTATGTATTTTATTTATAATTGTCTTTTGATTATTATGTTTACTTAAATATACAATTATTCATCTGCTGCAACTATCTTTTCAAATAGTATTTTAGAACTTTTTGCCTACAAAATGGAACACGAAAAGGCGATTGGCTTACTGAGGCATGTGCTCGGAGTGGCTTTCTAGTCAAGTGCCACAAAAACGTTATAATTCTTTATGGCAATTGTGTAGAACTATTGTTGATGTAGACTTTATTTCTACTTTCCTTGAATTTATTTATATAATTTATGAGAGTTTTAAATAAAGGTGGCGCCTGTCAGCTTCCCTCATGGAAAGTCCACTTTTAGAGTCATTGTTTTTTATTATCAGACTAAACTCTTCGGACTCGCACACATTAATGGGATTGAGATCCGGAAGGCATGCTTGTTTATTAAGAACTATTTATTATAAATGTTTATCCAATTTTAATGATGTTAACGATTTTATTTATTTATTTATATGAAGGATGCTTGATCTGTATATATAGCTATGTGTGAGCTTTTTACTTTTGCACGAAACTGAATGAAAGCTATGGGAATCTTAATACGATATTTGTCAATAGATTTCCTTCCATATGACTAACATTCCAAAGAATAGTTTGCCATACTAAATTGAATACATTTTTCATTGAAAAATATCTCGGCTTTTCTAACAAATTTTATAATAGGAATTAAATTTTGGGACGAACAACAAGAAACGCAAAAGCTTATACTCCACTGAATAAGTATGCTGATAATAAAATTAATAATTTAATACTCTTAGGTGTTGTATTCGTCACGTACTTTGAATTTAATTTCGAGTCGAGTTCCACATTTCTTATGTGTTATTAAAATGAACTTTTAATTACTTTCAAGTGCAAGCTATTAAGCTGAGGTCTAGTTAGTTGCGACAGAACTAGGCCTTTAGATCTTTTTATAAAGCGTAGCTAACAACAGCTATTTTATTTGATTAACATTTCAAATGAAAAAATGCAGGCATATGGACCGGAATTTTGGCTCACCCTAGCTTTGAGGTATTATTATTATAAGTTGTTGCTGTGTTTTTTTTTTCTTAAACAATTTTGAAGGCTTACATAAGCGGCGGCATTTTGTAATTATATTTTCTCTTTCTCTTACCGCAAAACTGAAAAGTAAACCTTTTTGTTATTGTAATTCTGCGGCCCATTACTTTGGGTTGACTTTGTTGTGTGTTGCCAAAGATACAATCATTAAATGTGTGGCACGTCATGTGTGTCTGCCTCATTGTACAATGCAGACGGGTACTTATATATAAATATATGTATATGCATATATGGCCTATTATACATAAGTGCCATTAAATTGCCGAAGCATCTCTTTGCCCGACTACTTAACAAACCGATGACAGACAGCTACATATACGAGTACTCGTACATACAGCTATATAGTATAGTCAACTGCATAAACTGGCATTAATACTATATGTTGACATTTGCATGCAAAATGCAAAACCAACGAGTCATGAACGCAGCTGCGGCGTCAGTCAACAAACCTACAAAGAAGAGAAAAAAACTGAACAGCGTGTAAATTTTACAAATTTTAAATGTCACAACTAAGAGGCTAGGGCTCTTAATGTCTTGAACAGCATTATACCCGACAATGGGAAGTGGCAAGAATTGTTGTGAACAGAGCGAAAAAGACAAAAATTATATTAACAAGGCAGCTAATGCAATGACTTGCTTAGCATTGCAGCATTGAATGATCAATTGATTGATTGAGTTAATAATGTTATGTTTCAATGCACATTTGAAGTATTGTGTGTGTGTGTGAGTGTGTGTTTAATGGCTATGCATATGATTTGTCAAAACGAATGACTTAGGCAACAAACTTGGCTGGCCTCCAACCCTAGCGCAGCCACAAAAATCAACATAACTGGCCGATCAGTTGCAGTTGTTTAGCATGAATCTCATATAAAGCAACGACTTGTAAGCTGCTGCGTAACTGAGCTTACGTCGCAGTCGCAGCTGCAGTCGCTGCTGCCGTCGCTGGCGCTGGCGCTGATGCTGCTGCTGCTGTTGCTGCTGCTGCGCCTCTGCGTTTGGCTTGTTGACCCAGTTCAACTTTTGCATTTTGCCGGCTATGTGCCGCTTAAAGCCTGTTTTTATTAGCTTGGCCAGCCCGCACAATTCGTTGGTGTGGCAAGCCACCACAAATTTTTTCGCGGGCAACATGTTTACTTTTTGTAGGCGACTCAGTACGAGTGTTTGGGTGTTTGAGTGTTTGCTTGCCTGGTTGTGTGGTTGGTTGTTTGAGTGGCGGCGGTAGCTTTATAATGGCACACGCAAATGCTAACACTTGAAAACGCAAAAAGTAAACGCATTTGAAATTGAAAGTGTCGATTGGAACCACAAAACCCATATAACTGCATGAGTAATGCGAATCGTGAAGACCGACGAAGCTCGGACTGGTCAGCAGGTGGCGACTGTGGGTGCAAAAACCTTCTTCGGCCTTGAATCTCAATGACTGCATTAATGTTAATCGCCAGCTAGAGATAAATGTAATAGTTCACAAGCAGCTACGTAAACTTAGTTATAAAATAAATAGTTATGCTATTACCTATTTTGTTTTGCA